AGAATTATTTGGATTGTTTTTTTTCTGTCATTTAACAGATGTTCGATTAGATGGTTTAATGAATAATAAACATTTTGGGATAAAGAGCTTCAAAATAAAACTTTCATTTTATTTGATTATTTTTATTCAATCAAATCGACATTTTTTCAATATTGTTGTAGTAATATTAATACCTGATATACTCAATTAAAATAATATTGATTGAATTAATGATTTGTAGTTTTTTTAATTGTCATTATTAAGGTGGAGTCTCACTTTTAGACAATTATCGTTTGTGTACAATAGTTTTAAACTACTATGAAAGCTTTTGAATTATTCTTTGTTTGCTTTATCCTAAAAATAACGACAGCTTATCTTTTTTTTATAAAAATCGTTTGTTTTATAACTGTCAATAACGATGCATATATACCATACATTTAATATATTACAAAAAAATAATTGATATTAATAAAACAAGATAAAATTAGAACAATTTTTTGTGCCAAATGATTTTGATTTTTTTTCAATCTAAAAAGAACTAAATTATTGATTAAAAATCAATCCGTTGTTTTATTTATTTATTAGTCTCTCTTTGACAATAACAATGCCTATAATATTGTTGATAAAAATAATTTTATAGTTTCAATTTTATTTTAAATAAAACTTTTTGGCTTCTTTAAAATTCACTTAATCATTCAATCTAATTCAAATTATTCAAGATTATTTTAAGACACACTGAGAAAGATATTTGGTATGAAAATCGATTACACTCTGTAAAACGTTTAGAGCTTGACCTCACGAAAGTCGGAAGACGTATAACCTATTTTTTAAGAAATCATCTACATTTTAATTACCTGAAATCTGATTGCATTGTTAATGTTACAATGATCATATCAAATACTGTAATTACTGAATAACTTTCACCTTAGTTTTAATCGGTATTTTATTTCACTAATACATTTCATTATCGTACAATGTGCTGTAAATTTCATCATTTTATTTTAAAGCTTTTGAATATATTTTATATTATTACACTAAAAAATTTAAATATGTGGAATAAAAAAACAGAATTATCATACATCTTCAGTATAACATACCCAAGTGTTTTCAAATAAAACATTCTTGAAAGCAGTATATCAGAGAATAGTTGGAGCTATAATTTTGCTGAGTATTATTGAAAACAATATTATTTATTAAACGATAGCTATTGTATCTCTAGTGATTCATATACTTTCAATAGCAACATTCTGTTCAAGAATCTTAATTGGTGTAGTTGAAGCAGTATTTCCTATTAATCAAACTAATTAAAACTACATTTTGTTAATTAGAACTTCTGTGGATATAAAATACATCCCTATCATATGGATGAATTTTTTTCTAAATGTTCAACACAATGGACATGAAATATCAATTTTTATCATGGACTCATTGTCTTCGCAAACACGCTATTATACAGATTAATAGGTTTTTTTTTGGGAAATAAAGAAAAGTATGGAATACACATTTTATAAATGTTCAAATAAAAATCTATGACCTCAAATTCTAATAATATCATTACTAGTCTTTCAAATTATTTTTGTTCATTTTTGCTTATTGTTGTTGGAATGTTTGGAAAATGAAATTTTGTTTTAATAGGATTTTTGATTCATCATTTATTAGAATTGGAATCTGAAGTAATGATTAATGTACTGTATTACACAAAGTTATATTTTTTTTTTAGCTATTGTGATGTATTTTACACATTAATATTAAAGTACATATAATCTTACACAAAAGAAGGATTTGCTTGTCACAACAAATTAAAGATTTGTTCTTGTAACAGTCTTTTCTACTATTATGCTGACAGGGGAAATTTGTAAGTGGGAAATATAGAGACTGTAGTGACACGAATAAAAGTAGGTTACAGTAAAATTAAGACGTTTTAATAAAAAGCAACTGTTGCAAAAATTGACTGGGTCGGTGTAGAAAAATATTGAATATATGTCAAAATAATTTCTCTTTAAAAATGAAATATTATTTTTAGTATTACACAGACTTATAAGAATGTATATAAGCATGATTTTGTTACACCAATTTAATAATTACCCAGTTCTTCTTCAGAGATTGCGTTGTTTTGGTTTATTGATAAATATCATAAAAGTAAGCTTGGATGAGATAATTTTAAGAATTGCCTCAACAAAATCTACTCACTCCATTTGATAATTATGAAAAGTAAATTAACTCTTTCATAAATTAAATACACTCTCTCTCTGCATGAAATGAAGTATTTCGCATCATATGCATGATGTAAAAAAATTTTCATTCTTTGAAGTAGAAAGAGAATAATAAAATTTAAATGAAAGAAAATTTAAGTTAAAATTTTATGGGCTATTTAAAAAGAATTTATTGCTCAATTTTACATTTGTAAGAAACTATTAAGTAAATTTAAATCTGAAAAATTCTTTCAACGACAATTTATCCTTCAACTAAATCTTGATTTAATTATTCTAAATATTCTGTTTCTCTAATAATTTAAATAATTAATAATTTTAAACTACAATGGACTTAAATAAACCACAATAATTTCGTTTAACAACAGAACATCCAAACAAAAGTTAAATAAACACTTCATTCAAAAATATTCCAATAGAATTTCCGATATATTGTGCCTTCTATTTAAAAGTTAATTCCTATTCAACAAAAGCAGTTCAAAAATAAAATCGCTGATTAATCTCTAATTAAGCTTATCAGAATATTCAAAATAAATGATTATGCCAAAAAGTGATTACTTTTTTAATTAAAAGCATTTGTTGGAATCATCAATATTGTATTTTATCTTCTAGCTGTAACGCTATTGATTAATGTCTAGAAGACTAATTGAAACCAACAGATTTTTGAACAATGCATTAAATTTGAATAATTTCCGGGCGATACTTAATAATACATAATGATTGAATTGACTGGGAATGAGGAGATTTAGTTTTGTAAATTAAAATATCCGATTAAAATACCCTTGATCCATTTGTTGTCACTGAGATTGGATTGACAGTTGTATCGACGTATCCAAATGTCCTTTATCTAAATGGCATTCATTTTGGGTGCATGATAAAAAGTGATTATATGCTATAAGCGAATGGAACAAGTGACAAAAAGAGAGTGATTGTATGTTTGAGAATGATAATGAGAGAAATAGTGTATAAGGGAGCGATAGAGAGGAAGACGATAAATAGGCTGGTGAGAATGACATCAGTTACTGCATCTACTTCAATCAAAGCTTGAACGAGAATACAACCAATGGTCCTACACTACTACACTTCAAATCAATAATCCAATCGTATACAAACCGAACGTGCCATGTATGTTATTTTAAAATGTCATATTACGAATTATATTATTCAATAACTGTCTCAAACGCATCTTCAATATATCCCTCTTCCATGCTTGATCGAATATCTGATGTATAAGGAAAAATCTTACTACTCAGCATGACTTTGATTTTCTTTTATTAAATTAGCTTTTCAAAACAATTTTCCTTGAATAACTATTACATTTATTACCATATTTGTTTCTTCATTAAATTTTTTTTTTTATTGAGCATGATCTTTCAATAATACATGTGGATTTAAATTTATTTGATATTGAATTGATGTAAAAAAAAAAATAGTTTCATGTAAAAAATGATTTTCGGATGAAATTATAATGAACAGAATAGGGAATAGAATAGTAGATTAGATAGGGATTTCAGATCACGTAAAATCGATTGGTTAAGTTTCAAAACGTGCTTGTAGACATATTCTAAAATGTTTATCGCCAAAATATTCTCTACTGTTCAGGTTTTGTAACAGATTTGTTTTGGTAAATGTCATTTGTGTAATTTTTATTAAAGTAATTATCGTCAATGAGATTAAAATATATCACAAGAGAAACTTGTAAATCTTAGTAATAATTGAGAGTATTTTTTTTTTTTTAATGCACTGGAAAATATTTTTTGATTGATGTCAAAACCATAGAGAGTTTTTTCCAATTTGATTAACCCAAACTCCAATTTATGTATTTTTATTTAATAACAAAAAAAAACGAATCATTTCCAGTTTTTTATCGAAATATTTTTTACAGATATCCAGTCGTAAATATCGGTTTTTGATCAGCTTTAATCTCTTGTAATACCTCAAGCTATTTTATATAAAACCCCCTGAAAATTTTAAACTAATCAATAAACCCAGTGTCAATATTAATATAAAATATAATATGTGTTTAAACCATCTGTGCATGATTTCCAAATATACTAAATAAAAACTTTTATGGATTTATGTCAGTTAATTATACGATTAGAGTCATATAATAGGAGTTATTGTTGTCAATTGAAGAAATATTTATTTAAGTATCAACAATGTGATTATAGAAGATAAAAAATTATTATCTATTAGTGCAAGTTCATTAATAATTAATAATGAATAATTATAATTTATTCTTATAATTGAATAAGAAGGAAGAAATTATTCATCTTTAAAACTATACTTAATGATTTGTGAATATTTTTGTTTATTAGCAAATTGGTCAATATTTATATTCTAAAGTGATAGGTGCAACTTATTTAGGAAATTTAATCAGTTATCGAACGAGGATCTTCAACCAATATAATATTTTATTGTAATAATGATATATTTATTTTTCTTTTCATTTATTCAAGCAAATACACCGGAAGTATATAAATAAAAAAATTAGTTCGGTCAAACAATGACACTAGCAATTGAATAGATAAATCAAAATATCGAGTCTTTCAATTCGAATAAATATAACCAGAAATTTTTCCGAGTGTAATCAATCTCTTGAAAATGTATTCGATTTGATAGTCATCCAAACATTAATCAAACTGATCTATGATAAACATAATATCCCCCTAAAAAAAATCAATAACGGATGCTTAAAATTCTAAGGAGTCTAATAAAATTATCTTGATAATGATGGGTAATAATTGTTTTTATACCGTATAGAATAAAAAGCATTGGTTTTTATTTGTTTGTTATTTTCTATTGTTTTAGAAAATGCTAGTCGATGGTGTTGGCCAAATGGAACTTGGGACAATTACACGGATTACTCACATTGCCATGAACTCCGACTGCCTGTTGTTGAAGCTGGAGTCGAGATCACGACCACCCTCTATTTCATCGGATATAGTCTTTCTCTCTCAACACTTGTCGTTGCTGTGGCCATTTTTTTGTATTTCAAGTAAGTCCTTTTTGGATAATCTAGATAAAAAAAAGGATCCCAATATGTAGATAAAATCAATTTTGGAACGTTTTCAAATGATAACTTTTATATAAAATAAAATAAAAATAATCAGTTAAAATCAAAATTTTATCCATCAATAACCAATTTTACTTGATAGTTTTTAGATATTTTCAAATATTTTTTATTATTAAATCAACTTGGTCAATATTGAAATATTTTGCTTGAATATTCATCGCTACTAGTTTTAGTTTTATTCTATTTACTTGAAATTTTAGTAAGTAGAATTACCTTATTTTGGTGCGGCGCTTGAAGCTCTTAGGTTTAATTAATTAAATTGACCTTTGAAAAAAAACTTGGGTGTCTAATATTCAATAATATCCCTTCTTGAGTCTGAAAGTAATAATGGAGATTATTTACTTGAATATAAATATTTTAAACGAATTATTATTAATATTAATCTAACATTAGATAATTTATACGTTCTTAAAAATAGCATTTATTTCAAAAAATACATTTCACTTGTAAATAAAGCATTTCATGGATTAAATGATAGAAACACATGATTTTAATTATAACAATAATTACATTAAACTTGATTAAATTTGATCATTTTTTAATTTTTTAAAATCATATTAAAAGAATAAATTGAATGAATATTACATTTGTACTTTCATATAAAAATGTAATGTTTAAAAAACTTCAAAACAGTACATCTCATCAAAACACTTTTAGCTCCTCAATCAACTTAATTATTTAGGTAAAAATGTTCTTCATTATTTAAAGGATTCAAAGCTGTTATAGGTACTAAGTTCACTCTTCCAACCTGAAAACAAATTTTTTTGACAAATCGTGAAAACCACAATTTTTTTCACCACCTGTTTTTTTCTCATGCATCAAAAGAGCATTTCTTTTTACTCACTTTTTTCCTATACATCTTCCACTTCATGAATGATGTGGCAAGACGTTTCACGTCGAAGGAGATAAAGTTCGCAAGCAAACACCAAACCTATTGAGTACACAAGTTTGTCTACTTATATACGATATTTTCTTTTCTGGTCTCATAGCTTGTGAGTTCACCTGTACTTTTCTCATCAATGTCACGTAACTATAAGTATTTTCCTTAAGTTCTTTGATTCGTTTACTTTTGTGTACTTGACACTGCACATATTTCATAAACATTATGTCACGCAAAATATCAAAAACAAAATACAAACGATATTCTAGGATATAATACTGTAAACCACACATTTTCCACTTGTATTGATTCTTTATTGTATGATTGGAAAATATTTTTCTCTGGAATATGAAATCCATATTAGAACTGTACTGGCTTTGATTTACACATCATTTTATGAGAAATAAAATTTACAATAAGAGTAATTATAACAATCATAATGAATACATTGACAGTTCTGTCAATAAGTTTTACTATTTTTGTCTCAATTAAAAATTTTAAAAAATGGTCTAAATATAAACTGTTTTGAATGAATAGTAATAAAAAATTATGTTAAATATTCAAATTTAAAAAAATATATTAATTTGTAGGATTAGTTTCTATTTACTCGATTTTTATTCAAAGTTTAGGACTTTTTGTCCAGCAACTTAAAATTAAATCCACTTTACTCACTGTAAAAACACTAATCGCTTGCATCAAAATTAAAGTATTACAAATACTTGAAAAGTTTAGATTGGCAAATGTATATTTATAGTCAAACAAGTTGACGAAAATATTTATCTGAAACACCTAACAAAGACATTGATGGTACTTAATTAATATTTATATTGTACTACCAAATTATTACGTTTCACAACTTTGTAACTTGTGTTTATCAACAAATATTTACACAGTTAACTTGACACTTTTGGACCTAAAATTCAGTAGCATCAAATAATTTAAATACTTTACCATAGATTTAGCTAATTACAAGACTTAATCTCCAATTATTTTCAAAATTCATTTCAATGAATGAATTAAAGTAATTTTCAAATCGTATGAAATGTGATTCTTAATAAATATATAAATATTTATAATTATTTTACACTTGCAAAGAATTTGTTAAATTAATGAATCAAGTAAATGACCTCTACACAATTTTTATAATGTATTTATCTTTAATATCATAAAATAGGATATCTTATTGAACATTAACCTTTTACCTTTTACAGAGAGCTCAGATGTTTAAGAAATAGCATTCACACAAATCTCATGTTCACATACATCCTGACTGATCTAATGTGGATCCTTACTACTGTGTTGCAAGTTTCAATGCAGTCAGACGTACCAACATGTATAGTCTTTTTTTCTCTCCTTCATTACTTTCACTTGACTAACTTCTTCTGGATGTTCGTTGAAGGTAAAAATAAATCCAATTATATACTGTCATTTTATTTAAGACTAATTCTAAGGGAATTAATATCGAAAGACATTTTTAGGTTTATACCTGTATTTATTGGTCGTAAAAACCTTCACTGGAGACAACATTAAACTACGACTCTGTCTTTTCATTGGCTGGGGTAAGTTAATTATTTTAATTATCTTGTAACATATTTTGTCACTTCATTAACTTTTAGGGATACCAGGGCTTGTTATTGCGATTTGGGGAATCGCAAGATGGACTGTCATTGATGTGACTGAACATAGTAATCAAGTATGTCATTTTTAATAATTTTTTTTTCTTATAAATTTAACATTGTTTTAGATTTTCATTTTATAAGTGATAATTTTAGAGAAAAAAATTTTCAAAAGTTTTTAGAATTTCCAAAGCTTTCAAAATAAAATAAGAAAACAGATAATTTTATTTGATTAAATGTAGAGTTCAATATTGTAAATAATCAATAGACTGTTCATACTTCTATAATTAACAAAAATTTCCAGCCTTTCTTAGATTCAATAACTTACATTGAAGTGATAGTGAACATAAAAGTCGTCTTAAATCATGAAGATAAGATCGTATTCGTTTTTATTTTTTCAGATATTTCATGAACTGAAAAAATAAGAAGATACATGTAGTTGAAAAGATGTATATTTTTACATATTTTAAGAGATGACTTATTTGATATATTTGCTGATAGTTTGTCCTAGTTTCAATCCTATGAGTGCAATTCTAAAAAAAATATAACTTTCAAGTATCAAAAAAAAACATTCCACGTTTACGCTGTAACGAAGTTACATTTTTAAGGCCGATATTATAGAAAATTAATTGGTCTGATGAATCGATAATCAGTAAAATCATTTTATCGACCCAGGAGAAATAGCGCGAAATTTAAATTATCGGCGAAGCCTATTAATACCATGTATTAGAGAGAGAGGGTCATAAGAAACGTAATAGATCTGAGAGAGAGAGATATTGTGATGATCTTGTTGCCATGACGACTTCCCCACGCAACTCACCACAATAGTGGTGGGGGATAGCAAAGTGGGCGGAGCCAAACAGTATAAAAGGGCTGAATTTTGCGGAGATCTTCACTTCACCTGTCTCCGAGGTACTAGACCGACGAGACCGACGAGAGTAGTAGCTCACGTCGTATAATACAGAGTTGTAGCTCTGGCTAAAGGGTTGTAGCCTTTTAGTTGCCCCGGAGAGTCGAAGCTTTCCGAAAGTAGGAATTGGAGGGTTGAAGCCTTCCAGCCAAGAGTTGGTGCTCTTGGTTTTAGCTAGCGATCGAGAGTTGGAGCTCACGATCTCGAACCGTGTAGGAGTCGAAGCTCCTCGCTGACGAGTTGTAGCTCGTCAGCTATTCAGGCAAGGTTGTAGCCTTCCCTCGAAGAGTTGTTAGCTCTTCGAGTATCCCGGACGAGTTGTAGCTCGTCCTCACTTAGATAGGGTTCTAGAGTTAGAAGGTGAAGAGTCGTAGCTCGCACCTATACCCCCTAGAAGAGTTGGAGCTCTTCGTCGACGAGTTGTAGCTCGTCGATTATTCAGGCAAGGTTGTAGCCTTCCCTCGAGGAGTTGTTAGCTCTTCGAGTATCCCGGTCTGGGTTGTAGCCCGACCAACAAGAGGTTAGGCCACGGGGTAGACATTCTTTTGGGTGGGAATCATCTGCTAAAATACCAACTTTCTTGTCATAATACTATCGTATCGCCGTTGTTGAGCCACGCGTATATCTTAAATATAGTTAGATTTATTTGCTTTATTTATTCTGTCATTTTGTAAAACCAAATCGTTGGTTAGGACGAGTAAAATTAATGTACGTTGCCGTGTATGATATACACATAGCCCTGTTGTGGTTTGTTTTTGTGTTTTTAGTTTATTATTGGTTTATAACGTTATTCAGTCGTTTATTGTTAACTATAATTGTTATTAGTTGGAATTAATAAAGTTTATTTTTATTGTTTAACAGAATTCAAAAGAGAATTTACTTTGTAACGCATCCGCCATAGAATCCTGGGCCATAGAATTTAGATAAATTGTTAAATTGGGGCGGGAATTTTCTTGGGGACTCGCCTTGAGAAAATTTAGGTGTTACAATTGGCGCTCGAACATAGGACTTGTAATCTTTGAACAAGCAAATAAGCTATAGGCTTTAGAGCTTTAAAAAGAGTTAAAAATGGAAGCCGGTCCATCAAGAGTTAATATCTGGAGGTTAGGGAAGCCGCAAGTTAGAGCTGAGTTAGAAGCTCGTGGAATTGAGATGCCATCGAAAGCCTCGGTAGCACAACTAAGACAAATGTTGTGTGACGCCATCATGGATGATTGGAATAGGGGAGATATGGAGGACAATTTTGACATTGAACCGACAAGTAGAGATACAAGTGAAGGTCGGCTCACAGTCAGAGAAAATAATAAAGATAGAATAGCGAAACCTAACATACCGACAGTGATCAATAATATCGACGATATACCCGGTCTAAGAGATTTATTGACGCAACAATTAAGGGAGCACATATCGAGAGCACAATCTATAGTTTCCTCTGGTCTTTCTACGCCGCGATCAAGTAGACGGCGAGAGCAAGAAGTCAAAGAGGAAAGGGACCTAAAGATAAAAGAGCAGATCCGGAAATGGAACGTCACATTCGCTGGAGGCGAAGATGTAGTCTCATTTATCGAAAGAGTTGATGAATTGTCAGTAAGCTATGATATAGCAGACAAGTATCTTGTGCAGTGCATCCCAATATTATTGAAGGACAAAGCCTTGTTGTGGTACAGAAATAATAAGAAGAATTGGAAAGATTGGGAAGAGTTTACTAAAGCTCTGAAAGAATTTTATTTACCCTCACGATATCGAACTCAATTAAGTTTAGAAATCCAGGATAGAGTTCAAAAACCCGGAGAAACAGCACGCGATTTTATTACGGCTCTGCAGACGCTCATGCGTAGACAAGGAACTCTAAGCAACGAGGAACAAGTAGAAAGAATTCATGAGAATTTGAGACCAGAGTATCGAAGATATGTTCGAAGATGTGATGTAAAAACGATAACAGACATCATCAGTATGACCAGTGAATATGAGCGGTTAAGAGATGACGAGAAGCGGTTCAAGTCGTCTGGTGTTAATGACTGCAAAGAAGAAAATAAAAGACGTAACAAACGTAGTTCAGATATTAATAGGGTTCATAGCCTGTATGACAGTAAAGAATGCTGTTGGAAGTGTGGGCAACAAGGTCATAAGAGTTGGCAATGCCAAAATAAGCCACAAATCTTTTGCTTTAGATGTGGTAAATCGAATGTTCGTGCAACTCAATGTGGATGTCAACAGAATTGGAAAACAATTCAAAAGAAGAAAGGGATAAAACAAACTCGAGATCAGAAGGAACCAACGGAAAACATCGTGAATCCGATACCCAGCATGAACGGAGAACAAGGATTAGAAGAGATTGACGAAAGACCTTATTGTGACCCACTAGATAATGAAGATACCGTTCAAGAATCAGCAGTTAAGTTAGCAGAAAGGCTCCAAGTATTGAGAGGTGACCACAAAACCGTGATTTCTGGACATTTGGGGGTGGCAAAAACGATTTCAAGAATCGCAAACAAGTATGTTCGGCCAAGAATGCAGAACGACATCAATAGATACGTTCGTTTGTGCAAAAAACGCCAACGATACGAGTCCCCTCAGAAGCAGACGTCAGGAATAATGGCAACTATCAATGCTACGAAGCCATGGGAAATTATAGCAGTCAAATTACAAAGTCCTTTTATTAGATCGTTAAATGGACACACTCAATTGTTAGTAATTCAAGATAAATTCACGAAGCGGGTTGAAATATATTCACTCAAACAAGCTACAGCTTCAGAAATTTGTAGAGTTCTAAAAGAAGAAGTTATTTATCAATTTGGTTGCCCGAAGACAATCATCACGAGCAATGGCACTCAGTTTACTAGTAGGAAATTCCAGAAATTGTTGAAGGATTTCGGAATAAGACATGTGGCAACTCCAACATGCTTTGCACAACATAAAGGAGTTGGAAGAACTAACAAGGTGCTAAGAACCATGATTTTGCAGCACGACAAGAAGTCATACCAATCTTCGAATAGGAATTTAGCTAAGCGGAAGTTTGCAAGTAATGAATCTACTAAAGTCAGACAAGTCTATCCAAAATATAACAGAAAAACATTACCATTAAATACAATACCAAGTACTTTAGAAGAAATGAACCGGTCAAGACATTTGCAAGATGATAGAGTTTTAGCATCTGGAAAACAGAAGAAATATTACAGTAAAAACAGACGGAAAAGGATACCAGGTATAGGAAACATGGTAACTAAGAAAGAGTATCTTTCAGCAGCAGCTAACCATTGTGCCGCCAAACTTGCCCCCAGATATAACGGCTCATTGATAGGACTTAAAATGTACGTAGATAAAGTAGGAGTGGTGTGCAACAATGGAAACACACCTGTAAGAAATTTTGGTACTTGAAAAAGAAATATTTATTTTGTTTGTTTCCAATTGTTCAGTTGTGAGAAAAGATTTTTGTTTCGTTTATATCACTTGTATGATAAGTAATGATGTTAAGTATTGAAAATGATTGTTTGATATTAATTTACAAATGATTGTAGAACTGTAATAATTTAAAGCAAATATTTAGCATTATAATAAGGAATTTTTATAGTTAAGCAATGTACAATAAAGATAAGGCTAAGTTTCTGTAGTTAAGCCGAAATGATTGTAATTATTTGTTAGTATTTAAGTCTAAAAGTAATGGCAAAATTATGAATAAATTGTTGTAAAAAGAGAATGTACTTGTTGGCAAATGAAGAGTAACTGATGCCTCTCGTACATTTTCACTATTTTTTTTGTATATACGGCTAAGGAAAAAAAAATAATTTCCAGAAAAAAATTCTTTTTTTTTAGGAAAAAAGAGGGGGATGTAACGAAGTTACATTTTTAAGGCCGATATTATAGAAAATTAATTGGTCTGATGAATCGATAATCAGTAAAATCATTTTATCGACCCAGGAGAAATAGCGCGAAATTTAAATTATCGGCGAAGCCTATTAATACCATGTATTAGAGAGAGAGGGTCATAAGAAACGTAATAGATCTGAGAGAGAGAGATATTGTGATGATCTTGTTGCCATGACGACTTCCCCACGCAACTCACCACAATAGTGGTGGGGGATAGCAAAGTGGGCGGAGCCAAACAGTATAAAAGGGCTGAATTTTGCGGAGATCTTCACTTCACCTGTCTCCGAGGTACTAGACCGACGAGACCGACGAGAGTAGTAGCTCACGTCGTATAATACAGAGTTGTAGCTCTGGCTAAAGGGTTGTAGCCTTTTAGTTGCCCCGGAGAGTCGAAGCTTTCCGAAAGTAGGAATTGGAGGGTTGAAGCCTTCCAGCCAAGAGTTGGTGCTCTTGGTTTTAGCTAGCGATCGAGAGTTGGAGCTCACGATCTCGAACCGTGTAGGAGTCGAAGCTCCTCGCTGACGAGTTGTAGCTCGTCAGCTATTCAGGCAAGGTTGTAGCCTTCCCTCGAAGAGTTGTTAGCTCTTCGAGTATCCCGGACGAGTTGTAGCTCGTCCTCACTTAGATAGGGTTCTAGAGTTAGAAGGTGAAGAGTCGTAGCTCGCACCTATACCCCCTAGAAGAGTTGGAGCTCTTCGTCGACGAGTTGTAGCTCGTCGATTATTCAGGCAAGGTTGTAGCCTTCCCTCGAGGAGTTGTTAGCTCTTCGAGTATCCCGGTCTGGGTTGTAGCCCGACCAACAAGAGGTTAGGCCACGGGGTAGACATTCTTTTGGGTGGGAATCATCTGCTAAAATACCAACTTTCTTGTCATAATACTATCGTATCGCCGTTGTTGAGCCACGCGTATATCTTAAATATAGTTAGATTTATTTGCTTTATTTATTCTGTCATTTTGTAAAACCAAATCGTTGGTTAGGACGAGTAAAATTAATGTACGTTGCCGTGTATGATATACACATAGCCCTGTTGTGGTTTGTTTTTGTGTTTTTAGTTTATTATTGGTTTATAACGTTATTCAGTCGTTTATTGTTAACTATAATTGTTATTAGTTGGAATTAATAAAGTTTATTTTTATTGTTTAACAGAATTCAAAAGAGAATTTACTTTGTAACATATCCGCCATTGAATCCTGGTCCATAGAAATTAAATAACTTGTTAAATTTAGGCGGGAATTTTCTTAGGGACTCGCCTTAAGAAAATTTAGTCGTTACAACGCATTAAAATATGAAAAAAAAGAAAAGATCATTAATTAAAAAAATTTTATTTATCAAAAAGAAATATTTTAACATTCTAAAGAGAAATAAAAAAAAGCTTCTGACGCTTCATTTTTCCATTTGAAGAAATTTTATAAATAACTCCCGAGATTAATTCGATGGACATTATTAGCTATAAGATTGATGAATGCATTCTGACGTAATTTTTCATTGATAATAGTTCAAGCTGAAGAAATTGAGCAATTATGAAGATAGTCTTCAATCTCTTTTTTTAAAGTAGAAATTGTCTTTCTTGAAAAAAAAACGTCAGAAAATATAATGAGAATTTTTTGCAAAATTTATTCTTCATTTTTCTTAATCAAGAAGATCATGGTAAATTATCTTACTTAGTGCAATTAAGATTTAAATTTTTCATTCTCTTTTGTTTTAGTCGTTTTAAATAATAATGAAATTGAAGTTAAAAATAAACCCTGACCATCAAACTCTTAGAACCTACATGTCTCAAAACGCTTTAATCGATCGACTTGTATAGAATATCAGGAAGAAACTGAGATTTCTAATTTATATCTATAAAATGTAAAAAATTTTCTGAAATATTAATAAGAAAAATTTATTGAAGATATTTCTTACGATGTAAAAATTCTGAATATGGAAATTTTCTTGCAACTAAACCTTCAAGGCAAAAATATTTATCTCATTTATTTTTATTGTTTATTATGTTATAAAATTAAAAAAATCTTACATATTGTTAACATAAAACACTAAAGTATTCTTCAAATTTTAAAAATACAGTTGAACTTTTATATTTAATGATTAAAAATTTTAAGAGAATCATCTAAAAGTAAAATATCAATAGTAAAAATAAAATCGTGGAATAAGCTTTAAAATATCTACGTCTCTATATAAAAAATGTCGAGGATGAAAATCAGAAGCTTTAAATCCTTTAGAAGGTTCTGTAATATTTTTAGAATTCTTATCAGAAAATGTTTATAATATTTTTTAGGAAAAAACTGATAGTAAAGAATTTTTAAATATTTTTCTGAAAATCAATACATATAACATTAATTTAGATATTCAACAACTAGATTCGTGAGAAAAATAATTAAAATTCTAACTTTTGTCGCAAATATTAGTCATGAAGTGCGTGTGGTTTAGTCTTTTATTTAGTTTTACCTACGGATGAACAAAGTTAAACACGATTACCAAAATTGTCACGCATGATTTATTTTACTAATTTTTTTCATATAAAATTAAGCTCGAAACACAAATGAAAATACATTGTTCAAAAATATTCATTAATTCAAGCTTTATTTAAAGAAATTTTAATTCTGAGTCAATGTTGAACTATAAGTTTTAGTTTAATCTTTTATTGATAAAAAAAGATTAGTGGTATAACATTAATACTCTGCTTTTTTTTAAATTCAATACTTCATAATTTGAATTCATGGATTAAAAGTAAATATGTTTTTTATTAGTCACAGTTAATAGAACTTCAAATTTTCAGTTTATTAAATAGAAACTTTGAGATTGAACGAATTAAAAATTATTGCCTTGATATAATGAACAATTTAAACAATAGTTAAAATAAATATTGATTCAACTTGAAGCCAAGGTGTCTTGGTCAACTCAAAACACCTGTTTTCATAAAAGACTATTGTTCATACACAAAACAATGTATATACTGCTTAAAGGTGATAATTAATTGAAAATTTATTCAACAGATGGTTGAAATTATTACTCAACGTTGTATAAAATAAGAAACCCATTAAAATTCTGCAGCAAAATGACATCCATATATTATGTATTATTGCAGACAATTCATCTAATGTCAAAGACTCATAAAAAGTGCAAAAAAGTGTCTGAGCTGTGGCTAGACATCAAAAAATATAGTTCTACGTGACAAAATTATATTCACAACTTTTTAGTTATTTCACTAAATATTCAACTAAATATTTTCTAAATATTCTACTGTTACATTTCTAAAAAAAAATTACTATTTAACTTTTTGACTGTTTTTCAGAACGACGCATTATATAGATATTGTCCCTGGATGGTTAATCATCCCTATGACTGGTTTTATCAAGCTCCAGCTATTACTGTTCTCGGAACGAATGTCATCTTTCTTTTCATGATCATGTGGGTCAGTTGAATCAAATTATCCTTATATGTCTGTACAATTTACACAGAGTAGTATGTTTTTTTCCATCAGATTTAATTTATTTGTTTTTTCTTTCTCTTCATTTCCTTCGACTATTGTTTCATTATATTTTTTTAATAACTTGTATTTTCATTTTTTATCAGGTTCTGATAACAAAACTACGTTCAGCAAATAATGTGGAAACTCAACAATATAGAAAAGCGACCAAAGCTCTACTAGTTCTCATTCCACTTCTAGGAGTAACGTATGTACTGGTTATAGCAGGCCCAACTAAAGGCGAGGTTGCTAATATTTTTTCCTATGCCAGAGCCATACTCCTTTCTTCACAGGTACGATAAAGAGTTTATTTTTATTTTTTATTTTTTTTCAATAATCAAAGAAATATCTCTCATAATATTGAATCACGAAAAAAAGTAATCAAATAGTAAATAAAAAAATATCAGTAAATGAAGTCCTAAAATATGTATCTAATACATGAAAGATATATAAACAAATATTTTATCAACTCGATTAAATATTTTGCTTTGAACTACTAGATAAATGTTTCTACATTTTCAATGTTCAGATAAAAAATTCTAAAAAAAAAAATCAAAAAGCTTTAGTTTCACATAAATATCATCGTTGTCAGGATACAAACAATAAAATAGAAACTTTTTGTCAAATAAAAGTCTCGTTTACAAAAAAATTCAAAGCTTTGATATTAAGTAAAAAATTACTTATTATTATTAATGGATGGTATTTTATTAATCAACTCATGTATTATTTATTATTAAATTAGTTGTTAATAAAAGGTACAAATTAGAAAATAACACTGAGAAAATAATGTGAATAAAATACATTGTTACATTACAATATCTTATATTGATACAAGTGCAAAATTAATACTTGCCACTAAACTAAATATGCAATTATGCTAGCAATACATTTACTTCTATGAACAGATGGATAAACATACCAATGCTGTTGTCAATTAATTGAAATAGTTATAAGCAGTTGAACCATGTTTGTAATTTGGAAATTAATGCATACATTGTGATATAAATCGTTGTAGATTCTAGACATGATTAAAGTTGAAATGGTATACTAAAATAAAAGAATTGAGTCTGGGGAATATGAAGAAAAATTATAGCATTATATTAATGACACATATGTGACCAGGTGGAGCATTTTAAAATTATTACAGTATAAATTCAAAGACATTTTGAATGTAAAAACTCTAAAAAGTTTAAGAGAATTAAATTTAAATTCAACTTATTTATAAATTTAAAATAAAAACTAAACAATCATCAATGCAATTTAAAGTTTATATAAAAGCGAATTATCTATTGTTCTTATTTATTAAGGATTCTATAAAAGTTAATTTATTGTAAGCATCATTGTTATTTTACTTTTCAAACACTTCAGATAGAGAGAAATAATCTTCTATGTTATCTATGACTTCACAAATAAAATAATAGTAATAGATATTTAGGAAATTGAATTAGGGAATAAAAAAATAATAAACATGATAGAAGTCATGTAAATTTCTCGATTATCTTACATTTTAAGATACATCTTCACTAACTTCCATTAAACTTAAATCTCTCATCAAATTAGTTACTGCCAATATACTGTTACATTTTACAGGGGACATAAAGTTTGAAAATTTGACGTAAGCGTTAGCAAGATCTAAATTACCGTGAGATTTGAGTTTTATGTGAGTTGGTCAAATTAAATCGTAGTATAAAAATATTAGAAGATATTTGGATTTACTAAGAGGAAATTTAGCAAGCGTTACACTGTGGTTAGACAAAAATGTACTGTGCTAATATAGTTATCAAAAAAGAAAGAATGGAATTAAATGTAACTATGTACAAGGTTCATGTTGAATATAAATGTTTTTGTTACGTGGCAGCATGCAGAGTCCATGAATAATATAAATTAAGACAGTCTATGTCACTAGTAAATTCTATATTTTTTATAAACTTTAAATGATGATGGAAAAAAATTCACTACCGCATAATAATGGATGAAGAACATAACATACTGAATGAAATGTTATGACAGTATGTGAGATTCATTATTTGTGGATTGAACATAATTTAAACTCTAATTTTATTCTAAAAATAGAGATATTTTTTATTATTTTATTTTAGTAGTATTTTTAAATATTCATAAAATTGATTACTTCTTTCTAAATAAATGAATTGTACTACTAAAGACTTGTAATGATAGTCAGCAAACATTTATTACTATGATAAAGAAGCATTTCATTGCTCAAAAGAAAGTTTTTTTATAGCAATAATAATTATGACAATGTTCATGGTTATTATTATTAATGCAAATGTCTTCAATAATAGTTACAATTATTACAGTGGTTATCATAGGATAAAGAAGAATTATTTAATCGTCCAAATAATATCAACCTATTTGGCTATGACCACAAAACCCAGTAACCACAAACAGTACATCGACCCTACCATGTTGAACATTGTGACAGTTGGTATGCCATTAAAAAAATTAGGGATTGTCAAGGGGACACTTCATTTCCTCTTCTGCCCTCTCTGTCACATATCATTTTTTTCTATTACTTTTTTTTACCACGACTTCTAATATTATCGACCATCTTTAAAAAATATTTATTGAATGATAAAAATAGATTTCTATTCAAGAAAAAGTTGAAAGGACAAGATATTGTTATTTGTGTGTCAAATATTTAATCAGTTGAAAAAATCATTATCAAATTTTTGTTGCTGTCAATCTAATGTAATATAATATTATCATATTTTACTATGACACTTTTTAGCATAATATTGCAATTATAGAAATGTTACATTGAAATAATAACAACCATAACATGGTAAAAAGTAATATACAGAAGTGTATTTTTGTATGTATAGAAATGTTAGTATTTACTTTCATACACGAGAAACATCTTTTATAATATTCTCTCCATATGTAGTTAGAAAAAAAAACTCTGGTCTGTATTGTGTTTTAATAATTGTACTCTGTGGAATCAGATTAAATTTAGTGAAATAATAATTCTGTTTTAATGAAACTTATTTTATGAAAACAACACTATTAAAAAGAGACAAGAAAAAGAAATTTATATAAATTCCAACTAAATTGAGCAAGAAATTAATATGCAACATAAAATAAATTACTTTAGCAAATTTTTTATTAAAGCCTTAGAAAATAACATACTTCAATAGTTAAGCTTATTTAGTCTCTAGTAATAAAATTACTACAAAATGTATTTATTACACTAACAAATTATTTTCTCAGCGTTCTTTGTAATTTGTATCTTACTTAAAAATATTTAACGTCATAAAAATGAATAATCGTTCGACTAATAAATTAATAATTCTTATATTAGGGTTTACTAGTGGCTCTTTTTTACTGTTTCCTCAACACGGAAGTTCAAAATACAGTCAGACATCATTTTTCACGCTGGAGTGCTGCAAGAGACTTAGGAATGGATAGAAAATATTACAACAACTGGTCACCAAGATCGAGAACAGAAAGCATAAGGTTTACATCACTCATCAAAGCTTCTTCAACGAATCCTAGGACTGTTTAACTGTTGTTTCAGGCTTTACTGTCAGCCGACGGTACTTTACAAGAAGCGAGAATCGACAGCGAGTGAAACTACAACCACAACAGTTGTTGGAATGAATTCAACGGTTACATTTCTCGATCGATCGAGGGCTACTATTTCTGAAGACCTCAACGAGTGATAAAGCTCTATTGACTGCCTCGAATAAAATGCAACTTCTTTACAAATTCAGCAACAAAGTGTCCAACTACTCTAGTTAACTTGGTCATTCGCAATTAACCACTATTTAATGATGAAGTGAATTATTCCATTATCAACTAAACAGTTCAAGGATAATCTTCGCTATTTATCCATACAACCTATTCAATCTGCGGGTAATCGTCTTACAACTATATTCAATTAAATGGTATAAATAATCGTCTTCCGTTTCAAAAGATTGTCATACTGATTGACGATTATCATTATCAATAATCACCAATTATTAATTAATTATTATTTTTATTGTAAAAACAAAAATATCGAGCTATTAAATGTATTTATGATAAATAATATACGAAAGCTCTCATTGTTGTACCTGAACTTTAATGTAAAGAATAAAATAAAAGAAAAAGTCATCGTAAATATTGCTCATTATTTATTATTGAAATTATCATTATCATCATCTTAGATACGAAAATGGAAATAAATATTAATAAATAATTTTTTGTTTTCAAATGTTCACACTCATTTGGCTATTTGTTTATAAAGATTGTTTTTATAAAAATTAATTTAGGAAATTATGAAAAAATTTGTCACTTATATTGTATCAGGTATAAATAAATAAAATGTCTAGGATAAAAATATTTTCTGCGCCAGTTGTTTTTCCATTGCATGTAAAATTTAATAATCACTCAATTAATGAATCAATTTGTTTATTCTTATTATTACTATTGTTATTATTATTATTATAGTTCATTTTAAAGATTGATGTGCACGACTGCAAATGATTCTTTGTACAAGATTTATGATACAAATGTGGACAAGACATGTTTATACATGAGCATAATCTTAATTAATTATTACAAATGGAGATTAAATTTTATATTCTTGTTACATTCGCTTTAACTTTTCCTTTATAACTCGTTTTTTCGCAGTTTTTATGTGATTATCAAAGTCATATATTATCAAGACGCAAAAAATAATTAGAACGAATATTATTACTTACATATGACCAGGCATAGTTTTTTCATTCCAACTGTTTCTTCTTATTATTTATAAACAATTTAAATTAATCAATAAATCAATCCTACACACATTTACGCACTTTCAATCAACGAATATACTTTTTATATTTAAAATTGATCCTCATTTACTCATTATCCTTACATTATTTTCATGATTTTGGTATTTTGGTTTACCATGAGTAAATGGTAGATAACGATACTTGATCATATGCTGCAAAAAAAAAAGTATTATTAATAACCAATTCGTTATTTATTTAAAACTTGTCTAGTACTTTGTGTTAGTATTACCTTTATTTGCCGTTTCATCGTTATACAGAATAATGTAATGAAATACATCACTAAGATGGGCCAAAAGACAGGAATGTTGAAAACATTAAACATCGTACATATTAAAGCAATAACAGTTGACTTGGTGACTGAATACCAAAATTTAAATTCTGGTAAGCGTCTCATGAAAGGTTTGAATTCTTCATTAGCTTTAGTCGGCAGTTCCGGACCATCTCCATCTAGAGAATGAACGTATTCATAATTAATTATAAAAATAAATATATTTCCTATTCTGAAATGATATTTGTATTGAGTCAGATATTATTTACCATCAAACTCCATTGCTGGATCACTTTTTGGCGTTAGAAAACCTATAAATAAATTAAGGTGATAGATTCCAAGGGCGTATATAATAATATACCATCCCTAAAAAATAAAAAATTAGAGACAAGTGATTAGTTATTATAAGTAATGTGTACTAACATAGACTTCTTAATCAGATTCTAGATCTTGAACATCATTCAACATACTTGCGATAAAAGAATACGTAGAACAAATATGACTAATAGAGCTCCAGCAAATAGCCATCTGGTGAAAACATGTGGAGTCCACAAATCCAGGTAGCTTTGATATATCTGTTATAACACAAAATAATATCTCTTGTGAATGATAAATTAATGAAAAAAAATGTATATATATAATGTAAATTCTAACCTGTGATATCCTCTTAGCAACTTGGAACACAGTACTCCGTTTCGCAGGACCGCCGAGATCCTCATCTTGCATCATTTTATTATATCTGTATCATTAAAAAATTTCCAGTTATTTTTTATTTAAAAAAAATAAATGAATAAATAAAAATAATGAGTACAAGAAAGTGTCGGTTCTTCAAAGTTTGAGGAAAAAGTAGCTGTTGAAGCGCAAGGGGTTATCAATAAAAAAAGGATTTTATTATCTTCAACAGCGCTAATTTTAATTACAAGTAATAGATACAATAGTGAACTATTAAAAATAAGCAATAGAATTAAATGTTTAATATTTTTATCACTTTTCTATATCCAATAATGAACTTAAGAATATGGATAACCTCATTCTTTTTGATTGTGTAAATGCTCTTACTTAGAAGTTTTTTTCCATATTTAACTATTAATATAATTACCTAAAAGTATTTTTATAATCGCACTAATATTTTACGAGCGTTTAATACTCCGAGTTTGATCAAATAAAAAAAATATACACGTCACAACATTAATGACATACTATGATTAGCGAGTATGTGGTACGTTTACAGTAGCCAACCAAACGATAAGACAGATCTGTGATTTAATCGATAATAACAATCTCTACTAAGCCTGCCATTTTGAAAATTAACAAACTTATGAAAATTTTTAAATATTAATATAATATATATTATATAAATATATCATTATTCAATCAATACTTCAATTCTTTAACTCATTATTAGTTATTATTATTATATTATAAAAAATGAAATAAAAATTTTTCAATTAGATTTAAAAAATGCGGGAAAAACTGCACTTAAGCGCCATCTCTGGAATAAAGAGGGAACAGTAATAAGAACCAAAAGTTATTCTTTCCTCTTCTCTTTTGGCCTTGTCACAATTTTTATTTGTCAAAACACAGAAACATAGGTGTGTGTTGAGACAATCTTACATCTGATCAAGTGACTATTGAATCAGTGTATCGAATGATTAATAGAAATTTTAATAATATCTTAGAATGAAAAAATTAATAATTGTATGAAAATCAATGAACATTAGATGTTAATCAACGAACTTTCGCCACGTAATCCAAAAGCAACGTAAAAGATTACGCATTTTGAGACCTTTTAATACGTACGTGTTGTTCCGAGCATTCGTTTTTATTCATCAGTGACGAGTGATTAAAAAAATTATATGAGTATATTTTTTCCTTGATTGCTCAATTTATTTGCTAACTAATTGTCTTTATCACACATTACTAGGCATTACTCCTATCATCGTATCTACTTAGCCGTGTAATGTTTAACGTATTCTGGAGAATGAAAAACAGTAGATAAAGTGAAGAAGAAGATACTAAATAAATATTATTATTATTTATCGTACGTCAGTGTATTATTCTTTTGGCTTATCGACCATTTGACCTCGACTTGATTAACTCCACAAGTAAGTTATTTTTTCTCAATGTTTTGATTTTTTATAGAAAAAGTCTAAAGTCTAATGAATACCAACTGTAAAATATATACTTACTGAAATTTCTAGAATAAAAAGTTTTTCGTAAAGTTATCTGTGATATAAAATTCAAAGTCAACATGCTCTGAACACCCATAACCAACAAATATTAATCTATTCGTATGAAATTAGTAAAACATTATTTGAAAATTCATCTTTAAGATATTAAAAATTATAAAACATATAATTTTTGATTTAACTAATAATTATTTCAAAAGTTTGTGTAATTTTTATAAATAATTTTAACTTGTCCATACTGTACCACTTCAATTCGCAAAAAATTAATTTATGCGAAGTGAAGGGGCAATTTAATTTATAACGATAAGAAACAAAGTTATTTGAAGTCTTTGAATGGTAGTTTTTTCAGGAAAATAGTTATGAACATAAATCGGGTATCATTGGAATTTAATGCTTTGGGTATAAACGTCATAACATGGAATGATTGTATGCTTTAGCTCTAAACGACAAGATGAGCAGCGTAGAAGAACAACCAGGACCGTCACAGCCTTCAGGCTCTGCCAGTAAAGACAAAGAAAAAGAGGACCGAATGTTTGAATGCAATATTTGCTTAGATACTGCCAAAGATGCTGTTGTAAGCCTGTGTGGTCATCTGTTTTGGTGTGTACTTCATTATTGGTTTACATTCAATGTCTTATTGTAGAAGAATAACTTTTACTCTTACTTTTAGTTGGCCCTGTCTTCATCAATGGCTTCAGACTCGACCTAGTAGACAAGTTTGTCCAGTTTGCAAGGCAGCTATTAGCAAAGAAAAAGTCATTCCACTTTATGGAAGAGGAACATCAAAACAAGAAGACCCAAGGTAGATGACTTAAGATATTTACTGTTGAAGACAATTGTTTTTTTTCTTCTGTGATAATACAATTATTATAATTAAATATTTTAATAGGAATAATGTACCACCTCGACCAGTTGGCCAAAGATCAGAACCTGAAGGAAATACTGGATTTTCTGGACTTGGATTTGGGGACGGTGGATTTCATATGTCTTTCGGCATAGGTGGTTATCCGTTTGGATTTTTCATGTCGACACTTAATTTTGGAGACGCGAGACCAAGTACAGGTAAATATTAATTTCCTATATTTATTGATGATTTTATAAATTGTAGAATCAAAATTCGGTAAAAGTCATCACGAGACGGTTTCGAATCCAAAATGTTGACCTCTCTTTTTCTACCTAGTGAAAGTAAAAGTACGATTACGAAATTTCACATTAAAGTTTGGCGTTTAAGTTAAATCTGATTATGAATAAATTTGCTTGGATGATTCAATAAAACTCTTATTATATTTTGCTTAAAAGAGTATAACTGATTGATTTGAACACCGTAAAACTGTTAATTTTAATTATGAAAAAAAGTTAATTATAAGCTTAATGTGCTCATTAAGATAAATTTCATCAATAAATTAATTATTACAGCACCACGAGGCACACCACAATATGAAGATGATTCATACATATCTAAAGTTTTTCTTTGGCTGGCGATTATTTTCATCGGATGGCTTTTAATGGCATAGTCATCAATGGCTTCGGTATTACTTTTATTCTAAAAACTTTTACAATAAAATATTCATACATATATTGATAGTATCATAGTCGCTGAATTTTGTCTTTTCTATAATTAAAGTTTAAAAAAGTATGGCGACTTAATTCCGGAACTATTAGCAAATAGAGTTCTACCTTAATCCGCAAATGTTTCAATATTTAATTCTGTTAGAAATTTCAACTTTCATTAAATACCTGATAGAAAAGAAAGATACAAGCAACAGATTACAAAACAGCTATATAAGTTCTTATGAATTAATAAACAACATGGTAAGCTACTTTGGTATATTGTAGGTGTTTATTCGGTAATAAATTTGATATAAACTTAATGACAAAAAAGTCCGAATTTGTGTTAAACGCAATATAAAATCATGTATATATAAATGTATCTTATTAATAATAAGGATAGTTTAACCTACTTCTATATTTAATGGAGTGATAAAATAACATAAACAATTTCTATAATGTTGAAAAACATGCTTGGGAATGAATAGTAATCGTATAACAAGTCAAAACTTTATTGATTATTTTAAATGGTGTAAGAAAAAATTTATTTGTATTTTTACAAAACAGTATAATACTGCTGTTTTTCAGAACAATTTTATTTTGTATGTTACTCAGAATTATATAAATTAGCTCATATGTTATATAAAACAACTATGGAATGAAAAATACAATCCCAGGATGATAAAGTCATCATTAAAACATAATCATAATAAAATAATGCATTTAGTATAGCTATTAATTGTACAATCCAATCACTTGATCCTTTTTATCATTTTTTTTCATGAAATATAATAGAAGATTCAGAACTTCAGTTCTTCTCAATTGAATGAGTGAAATTTTTTATATTTCGTCTTTCAAATGTTTTTCACGAGTAAATCCTTTTGAGACTAAAAGTTCATTACATTCTTCTCGAGTTAATTTAGACAGTGGCAGACGTTCAATTTCCTAAAAATGAAGTTTAAAATAAATTTATAAGAATATAAAATATGTAGTTATTGTAAATATTTATTTAAATATATATTAATTATATTATTATCTTGATTCTAAAATAAAAAAAAGTGTTTTTCATTTTCAATCGTTAATTTTAAATTTACCTCATTATTTTTGTAAAGTACAAGTTCTGGAATTGCTCCAGCAATGTTTTTATATTCCACTCTTTCACTAAAAAGATTTCTAAGAAAAATTATAGCTTAAAAAATGAAATAAATAATGTTTTTCTATATAAAAAATTTTTATGAAAATTTATTCAGTCAAAGGATACTAATCAGGAACGTCTTCGAAAATGAATTTTTTTACATCTGGGAGTCTATTCAATGAACATCCTGAACAACTCTGAAATTGAAAATGATGAAATTAATAAAAAATATTTTTTTATTCGTCGTTTAATTATACGTCAATAAAATATTAATATTTACCTCAATCACAGCACGATCATAATAAGTACCAGTATTTTCTGCAAGAACTACCGAAAAAGCAAAAACGATTATGCATAGAATTTTCGTATCCATTATGATAACTTCTTCGTATTATTTTTTTTTCAACGTTGTAATTTCGCAGCTTCTTCGTAGAAATTTTATTTTGCGTTTATATCAATTCACATAGAACTACGCCGTTTTTGCTAGCAATGGGATGAAATGAAAGATGACGCTTTACTCTTATTCTTTTTGGACCGCAAAATTTTGAAATTACTTATGGTCACAAACATTAAAATATTTTTATGTTATTATTTATATGATATTATCACTGAAAGTTGAATATCTTTTTATAGATGAGCTTTTTATAAATCTAAAGATAAGTTAACAGTACTAAGCTTTATGTTTAACATTCATTGTCAATTATTTTGAATCAGTGATATATGAAGTTTATCGGTGGTTAGTTGACATATCAGTTAAAGAATGTTATATCAATATCGCTAAATAATTAGAGTTTTGTAAAATTTATTATCAGAAAAGTGATTTTTATCAACTATTTAATACTGGTCAATGTAATTAGAGAATAAAACGTTACCTTTTTATTTAAATTGATATTCATTGAATTGCGTCAAAATGACTTCATCAATCAACAATTCTGTCGAATATATTTAGTTGTGTATTATAATTCTACAATTGATTGTCGTTCATCACAAAAATAGATATTCTTTCTTCGTTATTATGGAAGTGCTGAAATATTCATGGAAAAAATATTTATTTGTATATAAAAATCATCTAAATTTATTATTTCAAAGGTTAGTTCAAAGTTATAACCTAAACTTAATTTGATAGATTTATGCAGTACACAAATAAAAGATACGCAATATAAATGCGTACTAAATAATAACGTACATTGATTATAAATGAAAAATTAAATAATATCTATTTTGAAATTTTTGCAGTCATGCTCCAAATTTGATAAGCACTCATGCAGCTTATTTTTCAAACAATAATAAACCTTCATCATCTCCGTCATCGAATACTCATCAAACATGTGTGAATGATCATACTTCAAATGCCATGGATACCACTGATGAACTTTCTTCATTCATCGGTTTAGCAGGAGAATTCGCATGTGAAACTACTGCTCAACATCCATATATTGACAAACTTAAAAGAGTACAAACGATTTTATTTGAAATCAGAAATGCAATATCTAAATCCAGTGCAAATAAAAGAAATAGTTTTGAAAATAAACATACTAAAGATTTAGAAGAATGGATTTTAGAATACGCTAATCAATTACCACCTCCAGAAGACTATATTATTCCTGTAGATATATTTTTAATTTACAGCTTCAATTTGAACAGATAATAATATTTTTTAATTTTAATATTTTTAATGTTTAGGGGGGCGGTAAAGCATCAGCATCACTTCATGTTGCTCGGGCGATTTGTAAACGTGCAGAAAAAAGTCTTATTCCATTAATACATCAAGGATTGCTTGATGAAGAGACTCAAAGATATCTAAACCGACTAGCAGAATTTTTATTTACTGTTTCTCGAATTGCTGCAAAATGTGACCAACGTACTGAAAGCATTTATATTCCACGAGCAGATAATAAATAACAAACTGTAATTATCCACGTGAGGAGAGTTTAATTCAAGAATTTTTGGATAAATGAATATTCTCTACATCAATTAAACATTTTAAATGTTGAATATTTGAAACAACAACTAATCTATAGAGTCAATAATTAATTATAGGCTTATCAGACTAAGGATAATGGGTTCATTCACAGTTCCTTATCTTTTAGTCAATGATTGATACATTTTTCAATCTTACGTGTTATCATTAGTTTCAATTACTATTTATGTAAAATGAAACATTGAAATTTTTTATTAAATGTTTTGTAAACATGCTTTTTTATTCTTCCACAAAATAAATCTATTAAATTTCAAATTATTTTCATTGAAAGAAATTCATATTTTTGTGTTTTAATAAAAAATTATATTAAATAGTCAATAAGTTTTTACAGAAGAATAAAATAATTTTATTCATATTGTTAATCATGAGTCATATAAATAAATGTATGTTTCATTTAGTGTAAACTGAAACAAATTTTCTAATTGAATGGATTGAAAAAATGTTTTGTGCATGTACTCTTTGACAGATAAAAAATTGTTAAATTATATTACATTATCTATTAATATTTTAATATTCACAACATTCTGGTAATAATGTAAAATATTTATTATTATTTATTTCAGATTGATACAATTTGTTCATAAGATTGAATATTTATTCAAGTACTTCTTCTCCTTCTGTTATTTCCTTTAGACTCATAAGTTCAACCATTCCTTGGCCTCTTGTTTCAGCTCTTATTAATTCATCAATTTCTCTGTATTTTCCAGGATCAATCAAGCAATCAATTGAACCTAAATTTCCACCATCCCAACATTCATTCTCTATTTTCGTTACAAGCTTGACTATTTTTTCTTTCAATTTTTTTGCCGTTTTATTACTATAGACTATTCTTATCTTCATTTGTGCTCTTTCAAGAGGAATAACTGCTTTCAATTGTGGAATAATTTCCAAAGCTTGTTGTTTGGAATTTCTGTTTGGTTTAACTGAAAAATGAATATCTTTCATAGCTTTTTCGATCATAGATACTGGATAAGGTCTTTTACTCTCTGGGTTAACACATTTTTCTGAGACAATCGTTGCAATGTCTTTGAACATAGAATCTAATGCTGAATGCCTTTCTTTATCAGAAACTTGGAGTTCTCCTTTGGCAAGAATTTCTTTGCATATTTCTGTTTGATTATCATTGCCAAATGCTGCTATTAAATCTTCTTTTTTTGCTACTTGTCCTTTTGAAACATTAATAAATACCGTATGAGTTTGCAGTACTTCATCAATGTCTTTTTCTCTGTGAACATACAATTATTAATTGATATATTTCATTATGAACCAGTAACATGAAATCTCTTTTAAAAAGCAATAATGTGTAATATGATATAGTGTATAAAATAATTACTGAGGTTAGATGACCTATGATTGTCATAATAAATATTACAATTACTACTTACAGATTATTTCTCCAGGATACAACTTTATTTCTGTAACAAGCAATCTCAAATCTTTTGCCTCCTTTTTTCATACGAACTACAGCAACATTTGTCAACCTTATTTGATTCGTTGGAGTAAATATTTTCGACATTTTTTAAGCTGTTGAATGTATTATAAATGTTTTATACTATATATATATAGATGTTTTTTATCGTTTGTTGAGCATAAAATAACAAATAAATATTATAAAAAATTTTACTGAAAACTTTTTACGCAATTTAAAGCTCTAATTATTTTTTGTCTCAATTTATCTACTTTAAATGTCCATTTTATCAGTAGCTCACTGACTGTTCAATCGTAAATATAACAGTTTCCATCAAAAAGTATGTACTACCACAAGATTATAGTGCCACAGATAGCAAATTTACGTACTAAATATTTTATGTTTCATCATATCTCGACATTTGTTCTTCTACGTTGAGTAACATCTTTTTTGAAGTAACTTTGTTTATTATGTCCATGAAAGAAAAGATTTGTAGAAATTGCTCTCCCTCTCATTTGGCAACAAAAATATATTGTAGACTGGTTTGAATCATTCAATACCAAAGTCATTTATTTATATGGTATTTTAATCATTTGAAAATGTCAATTACTGGTGATAATGAGGATAGTGCATGGTTTCGGGTTCGTGTTCTTGGTTTTGGTGCTTTTGGAGTCGTAGAACATTGGAAAAATGAATTTACTAAGGAAAATATTGGTGAGCTATGAATATATAATAATAAAATATTTGATTATTGACCTTGAAAATTTTATAGCAATAAAAAAAAGTCATACACGTCTTGATAAATCGAAGGATAAAAAATGGCTTCGATGGGTCCAGGAAGTCCAAATAATGAATGAATTGAATCATTTAAATATTGTTGGAACTAGGAATATTCCTGAAGAATTAAAAAACATTGGCGATGGATTACCAATATTATGTATGGAATATTGTACAAAAGGAGATCTGCGAAGTGTAATAAGAATACTTTATTTTAATATTTATTTAGAAAAAACAAGGAATAAATGCTATTTTCTATAATAATTTTCCAGGTTTTAAGCGACTGTGATAACATTTGTGGTGTAAAATCAGATGATGCATTAAGGATAATGTATGATATATCATCAGCAGTAGAGTATCTTCATAGCAAAGAAATTACACATCGTGATTTGAAACCAGAAAATATAGTCATACAAGAAGTTCAGAATAAGGTAATGTGATGATGTTTTTGTTTATTTATTTATTTATTTCATACTTCTACATATAGTAAAAAGTTAAAATTATTTGTGTCATTTTTTTATAGTTAGTATATAAATTAATTGACTTAGGATATGCGAAATCACTTGGTGAACAAAGTATTTCAGCATCTGTGGTTGGAACTCTTAATTACTTAGCACCTGAACTTCTCTGGAAAAATACTTATAGCTGTTCGGTTGATTATTGGAGTCTTGGAATTTTATTTTATGAGATACTGACAGGGTTCAGACCTTTTCTTCCTAATATGCAGTTAACTCAAATCTGGTAAATTAATAAAAAAAAATTCATAGATTTGAATTTATAAAAAGCATTTTCGTGCAAATTTTAAAAGATAAATAAATTGTATGCAACAGGATGGCACATGTAAAGAATAAAAAATATGAGGATATTTCTGCTAAAGAAATGAATGATAAAATTGTGTTCAATACTGATTTTGAGGAACCTCATTCTGTTCCAAAGTAAGTAATACAAATTTATTCTGAGATTGAATAGTTTTAGGAATGAAAATTGATTTTAAGAGATGAATATAATTGATTTTTAAGATGTATACAAGCTGATTTAGTTAAATGGTTCCGGTGCGTTTTTCAGTGGAATCCAAAGAATAGAGGAAAACTACCAAACCAGTTTAATGAAATCGTAGTATTTTCTATGTTAAAATCAATTTTAAATAAAAAGGTACATTTAAAACATAAAAAAATCTTGCTTTATCTTCAACAGAATCACAATATTAAATTGATTTTTTTTGTTTGATGTACAGATTATAACCGCTCTCATAGTACCCAAATATAAATATCAATATTTTGCAATTGAATCTAATTTTACACTAATTCAATTTCAACAGTTAATTTACGATACAGAAGGAATTGCCCCAGAAAAACAAATTTTAACGGATTCGAAAGGAAACATATTGAAAGATAATTTTTTTTCAACAATTAAATCTTCAGTAAGAATAATTTTTTTTTGCTTTCTTTGATATAACTTAATAAATGATCTTGTTTATTATTGCATATGAATTTCAGAAATTCATATTAGTTTTTAATAGCAATCAAGTGTACATGGAAGATATTCCTAAACCTGTCCTATTAAGCCCGATTCTTGAAATGATCCATAAATCAAGAGAAAAATTAGATTATTTACAGTTAAAAAAATATTATGGGGCTACAATTTCTTTTATGAAACGTGAACTCGAGCTTTATCGGTCCTATATTTTTGCATTAAGCATTATGATGTGAGTAAAGTGCTTTTTTTTGTTTATAATTTTATTTAATAAATCAATAATTCCATGCTTTAATTTTTAGTGATTTATGTGATGCAAAATTTAAACTTTTACAAGAAGATATAAATAATTTATCATTGAATATGAAATTATTAAATGATAAAGTAGAATCAATATGTAGATTTAAAAATATTAATGATAAAAAAATACTCGATAGTTCTACTTCAAATCTCGAAGAATTAAAAAATAATGTAATGAAATTAGTGGAAGGCACAAAAACCGTGAAAGAAAAATTAAATAGTTTAACGGAGAAAAATAACAAATTAAAATCATTTTCCGATATAGACTGGATGAGTGATCTCACAGAAAATTACGAGACAGCATTAACAATCATAAAAACATGGCAAACTGAAGATCGTAATCAACAACAGAGTCCACTTAAGATGGTTACTACGATTTTTAAATTTACAGAGTCATTACATCGAAGACTAACAAATCCTCAATTAACTGAAAATGGAAGGTATGAAAAATATTATTAAATATAATGAAACTGGTGAATAGCGAAGAACTAATTTATTGTTAATTAACAAATTTTCAGGAGTATAAAACAGTTTTTAAAACAAATAACAACATTAAAGGAAGTGCTAAAATCATTTACGGCTTTATTAAATGATTATTCAAATGAAGTCACTACTTTCAAACAATTAATTGAAAATGAAATGACTGTATCACAAATCGACTTTATTAAAAATTCGAATAATCTTGACCTTTTAAATCTTACTCAAGATACATCAGAATCTACAGACACTCTTATTTATAACTCTATTCTGATAAGAAATATGTAAGTAATCATATTTATAACTAATTATGCATCTCCTTTTTTTACAACAAAACATTAATTATAGGCTTGGAGGTTTATTGGTCGAACTGGATATGCAGAAAAGAAAATATACAGATTTAAATTATTTTAATAAGCACCAATAAGTTAAGAAAAAATAGCTATATTAATATAAATTATATAATTATTTTTTATTACTCATGAATGTTTAATGATAGAATATCAATTGTTAAAAATGAATGAATAAAATTTTTATAATTTATTTACATATTTTTCTTTGAAGAACTAATATCTTTTGCGTGGAACATAATGGCGAACCCCCCACTTGATATTTGCATCTTTATCTGTCTTTACATACGAATAGACAGGACCAAAAGACTTCATTCGAAAGCCTTAAAAAAATATAAAAATTGTAATAATTGTCATAGAACAAAATTTAAATTCACTTACCTTCTATATTTATTGCTAAAATTATGGTAATAATAATTATCAATAACAATTGTTGTAAGACCTATATAAAATATCGATGAATTAAATTTTTTATGAAAAATACTTTTTATTGATATAACTTACGTTTTTCATAATAAAGAAAATTATTGCTGATGATTAAAAGACAACTTATCAATTTAGAATGAGTTACCAGATGATAAACAACTTACTTTTATATGTAAAAAAATTTACACTTCATTGAATAGAAATTAAAAGAACTTTCACAGTGAAAAGATTGTAATAAAAGGAATTGTTGCGTGCCGAGAAATTTAAATGGATGAATAGCTTCTCTTTTTTTTAAACGAATAGATAATTTGTTTTTATTACAAAGTTGTGCACATTCAATTTTCAAGTGTAGTATTTATCTAATAATTATACGATTGTTAAAATAAATATATGATATTTATATATAATTTTTATAATTATTTCTTTTTCTTCCACTTTACTATTATGCACACAATAAAATATGTATTTAAATTATTCACGCGTCACATAATAATATACTTTAAGATAGTGATCATTAATGTATTTTACACACACACTGTTGAAGTTTCAGATCAATTAATGAGTATAAAACTGAATTAAATGATGAAATGTTAATTACATGATTGGCTTATAAAAAATTGACGCGTTTTGTAGAGAGAAATGGTCTTTTCATTTATTCATTATCGCTAACATCTTCATCTGTAGTATATTCGGAATGTTCATCACGTGCATCTATTTCTTCTGCAGTCTCTTCATCAGAAATATCCCACTGAGGATGTTGAGTTGGAACAGCTGGTGCTTCTTTCACATCCAACTAAAGTAAATAAGAATTTCCTTATTAAAAAACCTCACTATCTATAAGAAATATCTAAACTAAAACATAAAATATATAGTACCTTAATGTCTTGAGTCTGATAGAAGCCAAAGTAAGAATCACTTCTTAAACAGACCGAGAACGTATATAATCGAGGCCAACTGGGTGCAGTAAAGCGTAGTTGAACTTCCTCTTTGTCAACCAAAGATGTAATGTGTACTGGTGTTGTAATTAACGTGTGCGACTTGCGATCACATATATACACCCACCAATATTCTTGTTTCACGTCCGGAAATAGAGGACAATGCACTTCATGTGATAAATTACTACGGCCCTCTAAAACCTTTTCCCTTTTGTTCATCCTCTGTTGGAATTTTTCCCATTCGGCATCGTCATCATCAAACGACTGTTTTTTATCTTCTGGTTCCTCTTTCTCTTCCTTTTCTTCTTCACTTTTTTCACTCTCTGCTTCGCTATCACTGGCATTCGATCCATTATCTTTGCTAACTTTATCTACTTTTTTATTTTTATCATTCTCTGTAACTCCATCTTTGGGATTTGGAGATTTTTCAGCTCTTCCTGACTTTGTAACAGGAGCTTTTTTCGTAACTCGTTGCTTTTTATTGCGAGTTTTTTTTGTACCTTTCTTCTGTTTTCGCCAAGATGGCTCTTTCATTGGCGGTGGTTCTGCAGCAGTATCTTCATTGCTGCTATCTTTCTCATCGTCATCTTCGATGGTTTTTTCTTTTACAGTCTCATCCCCAAATAAATAACGCATATCTTTGCGTATTAATGTAACAGTTACTGTTACTACTGCCTCGGCTGTATATACCGTAGGATTATCATCATCATCAACTGGAATTGGTTAAAGTTTAATAACAATTACAAAAATATTAACATAAAATTGTTGTAATATTTGGGTTAAAAATTGTACTTAATTACCTTCTGATTGCACTTTGAATTCAACGTATGGCATACTGCCGAGGACTCTTATAACATCTTCGTATTGTTCATCAGTTAAATTACGCAGAATTTGTCTTCTTTCATCCCCTTTCAATTGAGCAAGTTGCTGGAGAGTTTTGATTTTTCTTTTCTTGCCTAAGAAATGTTTTAAATGTTCTTCTTCAATGTGAGGTAACTGAAGAAGAGGATTGATAAATTCCCAAAATCCTTGGACTATCATTGGACTCAATTTCATGCAATTTTCTACGGTTTCTATTGTTGGCAGATTGGCAACTACAGAATTTAAAAAAAATTTATGTTAATTGTAATGAATCATAGAAAAAAAATAAGCTAGTTAAAAGATTTTTATACTTACGTCTGCCACTATAAGCTAGAAAAATTAATTGGTTGACACACATAATCATCTCTTGAATGAGGTAGGGACATTTTTTAATAATATATTGTCGATCCTGTTCCAATGTTTTTGGGTTTAATGGAATCCTTGATAGGTGTGCATAAATAATTGCTCTGGCTTTTAAAGAATAATTACAACATAACGGAAATTCCTTATTTTTTTCACCTAAATTATTTAGTTTCTTCATCAACTACGAATAAAAAAAAAAATAAACATCTTCAAAAACTTTCTGTTTATCTTCTTTATAAAAATATAAAACTTACTGAAGGAACTTCTTCATTATCAGATTGCCGTACGACAACTTCGGGGTTTGAATCTTTAGAAAATTCACTTGACGCTCCAAGAATCATAATGACTCTTTTTAGTGTCGTTAGCCGTTGAGAGTTAAAAAATGCGTAATATATTTTAGTAGTTGCTAACAGTACTTGGTCGCCTGTGTACCGAATACTCTTATACCACCACATTCCAACGACAGTGGGAAGAGCAACCATGAACACCATTGCGTACAATCCTAGAACCCATACGGAATTTTTCTTTTCAACGATCCATGATGGTAAAGCTATTCCAAAGCTCATGGCTCCAGGACCATCAGGATTTCCGTATCTTTCCCAATTTTTACGAGCTTCATCATCAGTTAATGCCTGATAAGCTGTGAATAAGATAGAATTACAATGAAATTAATATATTAATAAGCATAATTAAGAATATAAAGAGTAATATGCACCTTTCGTTAACTTCATGAAAGCTTTTTCATCTCCTGTTTCTTTATCTGGATGGAGAATAAGAGAGAGCTTACGGTAAGCTCGTTTAATTTCCCTTTCCGACGCGGTCTGCAATAGGTAAACATGACTTTATTGATTGTTTTCTTTTTTTAAATAATTCTAGATTGTTTTATCAATAATTTGAATAATGATATAGTTACCGATGAAACTCCCAAGATCTCATAAGGATCAAAATTGGCCATTTCGGCATCATATTGAGATACTTTATACGCCAAAAATGCAAGAGCAATCCAGCATAAAATAATAAAAATTTTTCTAGAAAAAAATAGAAATAATGAAGCAAATTTAATGAGATAGTATCGGTGAAAATAAAAATAATTCCATTTCTACGTACAATAACCATGCTCTGGTTGATTTCCAACGATCATTTGAGGATAAAATTTCCTTCTTTTTTTTACATCCTGAACAATGACATTCTCTAGCTAATTGTTCGGCATCTGTAATTCAAAAAGAGCATAAATTTTCAATGTAAAATTAAGTAATATTATTTTTCACCAAATAAAAAAGCAGACAATTACTCTAGTTAAACGTTTGATAAAATAAATAGTTAATACATTACTGTAATCATTTAATAGTTTGAATAATTAAATAATATATTTAATAAATATTCTAACCTGGTTTTAGACAACGTGGCCACAGGTAGTATGTTCCGGGGACAAGTATGAGTGCCAAAAATGATAATAAAAAGTAGAAAAACGTTCCGCCGCTCTCATCATATTGGAATTTTTGCCCGCTCATCGCTCATCAATCTGAGAATGTCTCGCTGCCACGTTTAAGTACATCAGTCTCTTAAGTACTGTTAAGTACAATCCTAAACTTACTTTGAATCAACACAAGAAAACATTTAAATTTAGGTTACGTTAAAGAATTATAATCATCTTCAAGATCATGAAGATTCCACGTTCAAGATTGCCAACTCAGCACTGAGACTTTGACTACACCGTCAACTACAAGGTTGATGACCTTGGACACTCCATTTTAGCAACTTGAATGAAACTCATGATACTCATACACTACTGTGTGTTATAACCTAAACATCAACCTAGTATTTTGCCTCAATTATTATAAAGTAATTGTTGATAACAGATAATTATTCGAAAAATATACCCTTTATTAATCAATCTTATTATTGCTGAATTTTAAATTATCATTAGATTAGTAATTAATAATTTTTTATTGCTAGAAAAGTCTGAACAAGTACAAAGTTTCAATTACACTCACACATACGCTAACTCCTACCGGTATTTTCGAGTACCAAACAATGCTCGTGTTTATTGGTGGAATTTAAAGTTTAAGTGAAAAATTCCGGTTACGTAATAACTATATGTTATTTTGGAGTAACGTTTGAAATAATTTAATGAATAATTAAGTATCATTACAACTAAATTTATATGTACACGAAATATTATGTTCAATTTTGAATCATAAACAAAATTAAATGAATTTTATTATCATTTTTTAATTGATGTGCATTTTTTCTCTGAATTTATTTCAATTAAATGAATAAATTTCACGCAGATTCATAGATTATATGACTATATGTACTATCATAAAAATAATTATATCTTCATCAATCAAAGTTCGGGATTATTTAGTTATAAAATTAGTTTATGATTTTAATCCTATTTTAATTTCAAAGATAATAGAAAAAGATTTAAGATAGAAAATATGAGCTTATCAGTCATGACTTTTTTTATCTGTGTTCATTTAGATCTATATTGCTGACGTGACTTTTTTTTTGAAATGCAATGACAATCTTTGAATAAATTAGAATTAAATGGAATGAAAAAATTCAATTTTCAGTTCAATTTATAAATGAAAACCGTTGATATTGTTTTTGATTAGAGAAGAATCTATTAAAGATAAAATAGGTTGTCCAAGAAAATTTTATGCTTTCTACAACTCCTAGATGGCAACAGTATGTTATTCTCCAGCAGATCGAACTGACTACAAAGTTAAAAATGTCACATTCACATGGATCAAATCAGTGTGTATCATAATATAACTGTGTGTATATATATACAGATTACAGGCTGTTATAATTAGTGATATTTTTGTAATAAGTTATTTACAATTAATTATTGCTTAATCCTTCTGTAACTATTCTACTTCTATTACCATTGAAAGATTATCTCTTTTGTCTACTTCAATCTTACAACGTGGAACTACTTGTCGTGACTGTCAGATACAACTATTCTCGTCAAACTCCCGTTAATCAGTTAAATTATCCGTAAAATTAACTTTCTTTTATTATTTTTATTATGTGTGAAATGAAATAATATATTGAAATTAAACGGTGCAGTATTCAAAATGTTAAAAAATGATTTAAACTATGTGACAATTATTTTTGCATCTTGTAAATATTTATATTTCATTGAATGTGATTATAATACACATAAAATATAGTTCAATGTTATTATTTTGTAAGAAAATCTGACCTTTGTTATCAAATTTGCGAACGATGAATTGATTCCACTAGGTTTTATCACTCTTCAAAGGCTTTTACACAAGGTATGACTAAGTTATTACTCATTCACCAATACGCTCTTCGTTGATTAGCACTTTGTTCTCAACTACAGAAAATACTAGTGTCAATGTTCTCAGCATTTCAATGTTTTCTTCTTCTATCTGTTACAGATTATTAAATTTTACTTGCAAGACATTTCAATTACACGAAGAAAATGGCAAAGACACTACCAAAGAATATAGTGGATTGGACAAATGTAGATGTGATTAAATGGTTAGAAGAGTCAGGGCATGGTAATTGTGTTTGTTATTTTCAAGCTCACGACATTGATGGCAAAGCTTTATTGACTATACGAGAAGAGGATTTGAAGGCTCAAGGAATGAAAATTGAAAAAATTGGTGATATTAAAAGGCTATATATCAGTATTAAAAAATTACAAAAAGAAAATATGGCATTGTTATTTGAGCTTGGACAAATTGACCTGTTTTCATCATCTAACTTCTATTCCCAACATAGAAATGAAGTAAGTATTTAATTCATTCACATATATAATATTGATTCTTGCAAAAGTCTTTGCAACACCTAGTTTGATGTATTCATTTCAATAATCAATTATTTTCTGCTGAATCAATTTTCATAGAATTATCACAGTCCATTAGCATAAATGAACAATAACGAATAAAAGAGTAAGGATAACGTATAATACGTTTATTTTGTTGGTTTTTCATTAATAAATATTAATATTTATTTATTCGATGGAATAAGATTCTCCTATTTTTAGCTTAATATATAATAACTTTTTTTTTAATACAATCTGCATGAGATAAAACAATTAATTATTATTCTAATAAAACAATTTTTTTTAAATCAGTTTATTCATTTTTCCTCTAGTTACCAAGTACATTTACAAATAATGATGGATCGATAGACCACGAATTTTACTCAGCTTCAATCTCAGACGACGGTCATGCATCTCATCTACCTCCAGAAATATGGAAAGCATTTATTAGTCTTGGATATTTATTTATTGTTACATGGATTACGGCTTTTGTCATGGTTATTGTTCATGATAGAGTGCCTGATATGAAAAAATATCCTCCATTACCTGATATATTCTTAGATAATGTACCTCATATACCTTGGGCTTTCGACATGTGCGAAGTAACTGGAACATTGCTTTTTGCAATCTGGTTAGTCGTTCTAATATTCCACAAATATCGGTAAGAAAACCAGTTTATTATCGGCTAACTAATATTTTTTAATCAATTTGAAAATAAAATAAAACTCCATTAATTAATCAATAAGTAAGATGAAATAAATTTCTTTACAGATTTATTTTATTAAGGAGGTTCTTTTCGTTATCGGGAACAGTTTTTCTTTTGAGATGTGTAACGATGTTAATCACATCATTATCCGTACCAGGAGCACATCTCCAGTGTAAACCAAGGCCAACCCCAGATGAACCTTGGGCAAGAACAGCGTACGGAGAACTGTATAATAAAATTTCCATGGCATATGTGATATGGAGAGGTGCTGGAATGTCTATTCAAGGTGTAAGAACTTGTGGAGATTATATGTTCAGTGGACACACAGTGGCATTGACAATGTTAAATTTTTTTATCACTGAATGTAAGTCAAATAATTGCATAACTTAATAATTAAACCAATTAAGCTATTCAAAGATAATAATAAGTAATAGAGATCTCAAATAACAACTTGATAAAGTAATCTCAACTAGAATAATAAAAGATTTTTATATTCTATAATTAATGATTGCTTTTAATTATATCGAGTTAAATATTCTTTATAAATAAGTAGTTAATTAAAAAAATTAAATTCGATAATGTAAATATTTTTTACAGATACACCGCGGCAGCTTTACTTCCTCCATACATTTACGTGGATGCTGAACATGTTTGGAATATTTTTTATTCTCGCAGCACACGAACACTACTCAATTGATGTGTTTGTGGCATTTTACATAACGTCTCGACTCTTTCTTTACTATCACACACTGGCAAACAATCAAGCACTCATGCAACGCGATTCTATAAGAACGAAGATTTGGTTTCCGCTTTTTAGCTTTTTTGAATCGTCAGTCGATGGAATTGTACCGAATGAATACGAATCACCTTCAGTGATTGTATACAATTTTGTATGTACATTTAGAGATCTCGGGAATTTTATCAAACAAAAATTGAGCGTTCAGAAGATACAAAATTCTGTCAAAAGAGATGATAGCACAAAGAAAGGACTTTGATATTGGGATGAATGACACAACATAAATTGTGATTGTGAATGAATAAATAGTATGTAAATTTAAATATGTAAATGGAAATCTAGAAAATTTCATGTTTAATGAGAGAAAAAATGATGAAAAAGACAATTAGTTATAATTAATAATTATATTTACTATTTTTATAAAAATACAAATTACTAGAGACTGCAAAACTATATGACTGATACGTTTTATAAGTGATTGCAAGTGCTCGAATATTTTTCTTCCACACATTTGCGAGAGTATATTTCATTTTTATTTCAACCTCCAACATCGCTAATTGTTATTTATTAAGCAATCAAGAGTTAAAGCTTGGTATTTAATTATTTTAAATTGATCGTTAGATTTAATTAAAGAAATTTTATAGAACAAACCGAAGAATTTCATTTTATTATTTTTTGTTGTCCTTATTGATCAATAAAAATAAGAAATTATTTTTTAATAAATATCACTTATAAAATAATCTGTGTATTATTCAAATTTTATTTTAATTCAGAAATAATTTCACCTCATTTCATGATACATGTTTGGCAATGAAGATGTCTTGAGAAAATCTTATTAAAAAGCCAGAAGGACCGTGTGATCGAATGCGAATACCGATGAACAGTTTTTCTGTCGTTCACCGGTCAAGGCGAAGAAGAAGCAACATATGGATTACATTCATGTTGTACGGACGTTTCTAATGTTAATCACAGACTTGAGGAACAGGAGACCAATGTTGTTCGTTGCTTACTTTCGGAATATCGTTTTCCATTTACGGAATCAACAACAGTTTCTACGATGTTCTCGAGAGAAGATCCCATAGATCGTCAAGTGCTTTCCTCACTCTCATTGACAAATAGGAATAAACGAACATCTTGCTTATTCCATTCCACTACTTATTTTTTTCCCCATCGACAAATAATAGGATACATATGACAGTTCCACAAAAACATTTAACTATTATTAATTTTAAATTTAACAAAATGAAACATTCATTGATTACTTTCACATTTTTCAGTTAATAGTATTTTAAAATTTTCTAAAAATAGTTATTATAAAATATCCCCTACTATGCTCATAGAAAAAAATTTTCAACTTCATTATTTATCTATTATACTTCTAAAAAATATTTTTAACATTTTTCCATTCCTCTTACGGAACCTTAATGTCAATCCAGATCTATTAGATCTTCCTCAACACTCAAATGTTTCAGCGACAGCATCTATTTCTGTTTACTTAAAATTAAACTCACCCTACCATCAACGCGGTCTATCACGCCAGTAGAGTCAACGCACTTCTCCGCGCACCAACAATTTCTTCTAAGTGAATAGCTCATAATAAATTCTTTTACCTATTTCTTTTTATTCTATTCTTTACTCTTCAAAGAATAAAATTTCCAATGCAAGCATCTACTGACAAGTCTGGTGTCTGTGCTGTTTGTAAAAGTCCTGCTGATCTAAGATGTACAGGATGTAAGGAAGAATTTTACTGCAACTCAACACACCAAAAGGATGATTGGTCTAGACATAAGTTATCATGTCGTCCATGGAAAATTGAAGAAAATGAGGAACTTGGCAAGCATCTCATAGCAACTAGAAATCTTGAGGCAGGTGATTTGATCATTACAGAAGCTCCAATTATCTGGGGGCCAGCTCTACACTCTGACAAACGTGTTTGCGTTGGATGTGGAAATCAAAATGTTGCTGTCAGGTGTCCAGGATGTTCTTGGTATGCATGCAAAGTATCTTGCGATGGTTTAGTGGATGCTAATCGACATGCCATTGAGTGTAAAATTCTAGCTAAAGTTCGTATCATTCCTAGATGTGATATTCTATTACCTTTACGTATGATTTTATTAAAAAAACGTTACCCTAGTCGATGGGAAGCACTTTCTTCTCTTGAAAGTCATGAAGACAAACGTGGACCGGGTACTGAAACTTATGAAGAGACTCAAGATATTATTCAACAACTTCAACCTATTCTAGAAGCTTTCTCCATGTCTCCAGACGTTCTTAATAAAATCTGCGGCCTGATTGATGTTAATGCGTTGGAGACTAACCCTCCTGAAGGCTCTGCTGCTATTTATCAAAACGCTTGTCTCCTGGAACATTCATGTCTTGCTAATACTCGTCATAATTTCGTACTTGACAACAAAAGTAGACCAAAAATTATTATAAGAGCAGCACGACCAATAAAAAAGTAAGTAATTACCGAAATAAAATTTTTTATTTCACTTTATACTTCTTCTCTAAACTTTGATGAAGTAAAGCAAAAATTTAAATACATTTAAGAAATATCTAGTATTTTTTAAAAGAATATTTATTAAATTTATTCATTTTCCATTGAATATTGTTAAAGTTATTTTAAGTATTTTTTTTTGTTAAATCTTAGAGGAGAACACTTAAGTACCACGTATACTCATGTTCTCTGGACAACTCGAGCTCGTCGGGAGCATCTTTTGGCTACTAAATATTTCTCTTGTCGTTGTAAACGTTGTCAAGATCCTACGGAACTAAATAGTCATCTTGGAACTGTAAGATGTCCTTGTGGTCCTGGTTTAATTCTCCCAAAGGATCCTCTCGACCTGGATACCAAGTGGTCTTGTAATTCATGTCCTGGTGAGTTTCAGAATTTTTTTTATGCGAATTAATCATCAAGTTTTTATTCAAGTTAAATAGAACGTAACGAAATAATGAAAGTTAAAAATGAAAATGGAAACAAAAAAGAATTATAATATTATCAAGTACCTTCAAAAAGACTCTTTACTGAAGATATAGAGTTACTTGAAAAAACTTTAATCATATATTCTTTATTTAAACTCAATTTTTTAAATTAATATCTAACGATCAACATTCTAGGAGTACTAACGTCCGATGAAGTTCTTCAACTAGTTGACAGATTGGGTGAAGAAGTCGAAAATGCAATGTCAACTGCCAAAGAATCAGTTCTCAGTGACTTACATTCAAAGTATTTTATTGATTAATTTTTTAATTAATTAAAAAGAAGAGTATTTCTTTTATCAATTTTTGTATGAATTATTTTTTTTTCTAGACTGTCAGTACTTTTGCATCCAGGACACCAACATTGCATTGCCGTCGCTCACTCACTTATTCAACTACAGTCCCCTGACAACATGAAAAAGCGTGAATTGTGCGAGCGAATCTTACAAACAACATCAGTCCTAGATCCTTATGGCGCTCGACTTGCCTTATATACTGCAGTTGCTTTAAGAGAGTTTGCTTCATGCCCTGGGGAAGAGAGAAAGCTTCATTTAGAACGTGCGATTGATTTACTCAAACACGAACCTCATCAAAGTCCTGGAGATCAACTTAAAAGGCTTATACAAGCTGAATTATAATAATAAAGTCATGAAATTTATTAAAAATTTATTACAAATATTGTTGTATTTATGTTCATCTTTAGCTATTAATTTTGTAGATTTTAATTGCAGAGATGGCATATTAATGATAAAGAATTGTAAGGACCTTGAATAATTTTTAACTTGCATTCAAGTTTTATTTATTTTTTATGTACTTTAACTGCTTCATACATAACTTATTGAAATAGTTTAATTAATCGAATTATTTATTATTAAAATTTTAAAGATTTTTCAATTAAAATTGATTAAAAGCTTACAAAGATGAAATTAGTAAAGATTTATTGGATGAGCTTACAATAAAAATTAGGGACTATAAGGACCTCGAGGTACTTTGATACTTGCAGAAAAGCTTCCCTCTTTTACTTCCTTAGACTCTTGACTCACTGGCATTGATTTATTTCGTGCACAACAGAGAGAATAAATCCACGAAACCAACGACAGAGCTTCATTCAAAAATGCATATAAAAACGGATGAACTGTTGCGTTTAAAAGTGATAAAGACGTCAAAACAACTTGTAAATGCCACCAAAAGTTACCAGACAATGTGATGTGTAATTTAACTAGTAGATATATCCACTGTGGTAATCTACAAAAGCTAAAAATACCAATTAGCATTAAAATTACTTTCACAGTTCGACGTTTCCGAATTATATGAATTGGAGTTGGTGTTTTTTTCATCCAAGTCACAGATTTGATTGTTGTATTTGTAGAAGCTGCAAAGGATAATAAATAAAAATTAATAATTAAAAAAAAAATTATAAACTATTTATTAACTAAAATGAATATAAAAATTATTGTATATTTTTAAGCTTTAAGAAATAAAAATAATCTTTGAGATTTATTATTTTTTTTGTTACCAGTTGAGTTGTCTTGACTTATTTGAGGCTGATTGCGTCGGATTTCCCCCGGAGATTTTCGTCTGTGAATGCTTAAAGCCAAGAGAATGTAGACAAGGATGAACACTGTTGTAAGAGGGACAAAAATGACAGCAAAGAGTGCAGTATAAACCGTCGCAGCTGCATGACGATCCGTCACACACAAAGTTCCTCTGTGCGTATTAAATAGAAACAATCGATGTAAACACATGAGAATTATAATTAGAAGTAAAATTCAACAGTTTGAACATACGTGTATATTGTTGAATTGTTTATTACACCAACAGTTTCTGTTGTATAAATCTCCAAAACTGGGTAAGACGAACTACACGCAACACTCCAGACGATGATGGTTGAGCCTACAGCTACCAAATTACCTGTAGAATTTTGTGATAGTGAATGCTTAGATTGAATTGCTGAGTACCGATTTAGAGCAATTCCTGCCAAGTTTAATGATGTTACGAGCATGGAGACTGTCTGGAAATATGGAATCAATGTACAGCCTAAGCTGGATAGCTTCCAAAGCAGTGTCTTGTTGGTAACGGTTGCCAGGACATTTGTTCCCGATGATCCTAATAACAAAAGATCTGCCAAGGCCAAGGACACCAAAGACATCTTGTAGAAGGGTTTTAGAGAGAAAGATGAACTACTCTTCCTGGTTGAAAAACAAATGCAACACAAAACTCCCACGTTTCCAATCACTCCGATGATTATCAAAGGCCAGAGAATCACTTGGAAAACTAATCTAAAGTCACTTGAAAGCCTTGCCAAATCGTTTTCAAAGTAACCGTTCATTTTTGCCACTTGAACTCTTCTTTTCTGTAATTTCTGCGTTCCAACTCTCATCCACGCAATATTCCTAACGTAAACGATCCCGAAATAGACACTTGTGTGTAAGTTAAGACTGGAGAGATTCGTGGCTTTTAATGGTCTGTAGGTTTGATGGTTGATAACCGATGTTTTATGCTATACAGTGGACATGAAGGACTTCTGGGTGACATATGGTTTTGCCTTTGTTTATACTCCATGCTTGGATGAACAGTGACGTTGGTTTTATTATTTATTAAATCTTATCTTACTTGATTGATTTATAATTTATCTTATTTTCTAAAACTGTTGATGATTACTACTACTATTGTTATTATGATAATTATTATTTACGATACGATTGATGATCACGATAGCGATCAATGAAGTACAAAAATACAGCAATTAGGAAATTAATTATGATGACAAACGTTCACGCATTTTTTACACTCATCACACACAGGCATACACACTCTATGTACAAAAGGGGATTGAAGATTTTTCCTTTAAGATTGACACATTCTCCGAGTACGCACTCCTATTAATGGATACGACAATGATTGACCTTGAACTTGAGCAGTTATTTGAACTATGTAAGCTTTTCCTGGTTGGAGTCTGTTGATGGTGAATAAAAGAGCTCGATTTTCTGTAGGATTCAATTTTTCTTCACATTCTTCGCGTGTGTATTCTGATCTACGACGACGATGAAGACCACACTGATCTGGAATACTTGCTATTCCATTCATTGAAGTTGAGCCTCGGAGTTCACGAACTAGAACGCAATATTTTGCAGCTCCTGCTGGCTCTACGCCCACTGTTACTTCATGACACTTTCTCAAAGATCGATATTCTCTTGGTGTACTCTTCGAAGGTACCTGTAAACATAAAATGATTTTTTGTCTTTATTAAAATGTTAATTGCAGTAATGAGAAATATTTTCACTTACTTCTGGATATAGAATTGCACCTTCTTGAGTTGCCAAGACCTTGACTGATGATACTTTTATTAATTCCTGTGGAGTTGCGTATATTCCAAGCATGTATCGTTTTCCTGGCTCTAACGAGGGTGCTTTTAAGGATGCGTGGCCAACTACTTCTTTTTTCTAAATTAAATATTACATTTTTTCTTTACTTTAAGATCATTTATTCTAATTTTTAATTGATAATGTTTTTATTAAAATAAAATTTTTATCAACAATCAATTAGTTAAAGTTGCTAATTAATTTCCATTTAATTAAGTAAGTGGATCTGTCTGAATAATTATAATGAATTTTTTAACGCGAAAATGAGTAATTCATTAGTATTTAGGATCTTAAAGAAATTTTCATTTCGATCATTGTTTTAGTATACCATGATGAGGAAGAAAAAAATTGAAAAAATTAGACACTTAAAAAAGTGAAATTGGCAAATGAAATACCTTCATAAATCCAGATGGTCCTCGAAGCTTAGCTCTAACTATCCCTCCGCCACACGGTAAAATATGAAACTCCGTCGTGCCGTTATAAGGAGGTTGATATTGAAAATTTATGAATCCATCATATTTACGAAGATTCGCCGTTACATAACGGTCAGTTCGTAAAATTTGAGCTGGAGTTTTTCGAAATTTAAATGACTCCGTGGATATCCTGGTGGATACATTATTTCGTGCACTTATCTATATTAATAAAAAAAAACCTTTGCATTTAAAAATACTGATAATATCAATTTATTCCCTCCTTATGGTGAATAAGATAACGAAATTGTTTGATACAAACCACATAAAGAGAAAAATCGTATGTCGTGTTGTACTTTAGACCATGAAGAGTAAGTTTAGTTTGATTAAAGCAGTGAAGACCTTCAGGAACTCCACGATGTTGATATTCTCTAGAAGATCCACCACTTTTGATAGGTCGAGAATGAATCTGTAGGACATTTTGAGCAGCACAAAGGGTTGGAGGATGCATTGCTGTGCCAGATGTTACAGCTAAGCAGTAATTCGACATATGTGGATCCACGTGGCTGTTGGAGTTGCAAAAAATGTTCTTTCAATTTTTTTTCGTTCTCTAAACAAGTTAGAAGTTACTGAAAAAAGGCTTTTTTTTACCTTTTACTCCATGAAACTGTCAGTCTACGTCGACTTCTACGTGGTTGGAAGCGTAATGCTCGGTGTTTCTTTCCTCTAGTGCTCTCATACGACACTGGAAGATGATCCAGAGCACTTGAGGTCGCATAGAGCAACACCGTCTTCGGCGATCGATCGATCTTGTAAGCATCTGTCTTAGTTTTTATCTCAAGCCTATAAAGTCCCGCACGTACTCTTGGAATCGTAAAGTTCTGCGCTTCATCGCCTTCGTAGCTGAATAACGGTGATCCCGGAATGAGAGCGTTTACGGGCCATCGTGTCAATGCTGATATAACAAACAGGAAAATCATTCGCGTTAAATTGCTATTAAAAAAAATATATTAATAAAAAGATGGAAAAGAAGGTTAACTACTTATAATTCATCTATCACATGATTAAATAGATTATTTTATCTGAAGATTATTTCCATCTGGTTTTATTTAAGTTACTTGGAATCATCACCTAAACCTGATTATTTTATTTATTAATATTTCTATCTACTGTTATGTGGATAATTAATGTATTAATGTCATGAAATGAGTTAAGAAGAAGTTTCTTTGATTGAAATTTTTTTATGATATACTTGTTAGAAATTAATAAATAGTTGATAGAGTTTATTTTTTATAATCTATATTAATTGACAAATGTAATTTTATTAGATGATGTCTGTGCTTTGATTATAATCATATTCGACTGATTAATTTTATATTCAAGCTGTTTCATAAATAAAAGCTTTTCCATGAAGCTTCTAATTGTTATTTCTTATTTATAAATTGGCTAGAAATGGGTCAGTTGAAACTCTGAATAACATTTATTATTGTTATCTATTAAATAAATCAGATTGAGATAACATTGTAAGTAGGTGATTCAAAACACACAGTTTCATGATCACTATAATGAATTATAGATTAGATGCAGTTTTAAACAACGAAGTTGAAAAGAATCAATATCTAAGTGTAAGTTTAAAATAATATAATATATATTTTATTTTAAACAATATCGTTATGAATTTTTATATAAATTAAAATTAAAGTATGTTATTTGAAAGACAAACTTACATTCAGATGCTCCACTTTGACGATTATCAACAGGAGGTTCAAAGCAAGTAACAGTCCAAGCGATTGGTCCAGCACAAGGTGTAACAATGAGTGTTAAAGGATGTCCATCGCGATGACTGAGATAATAAAACCTGTAATGACATCAGCTGCATCCAGTATGACATTACCATTCGAAAAGATGTGGAATAAAATGGTTAGAGGGGTTTAAGAGAGCCCATTCTGGTGTTGAATAGGATTTACTGACCAGTTTATAGCAGCAAACAGTTCTTTTTCTCAGAATATTAACTTATGACTGATGCTAATCAATAACATGTATGAAGAATGTTCTAAAATACTTAAGCAATTGAGGATACAAACAGTTTTACTACATAAGTATTGGGTTTAAAAATCTTACCAAGAACATTAGTGTTGTATTTAGAAATGATCACAACAATAGACTAATCCATCAATCAACTAAACTATAATTTGGCTTTGCCTAAACCTAGTTTGGCATTTATTTCAAGAGCTTTCTTCAGTAGCTCATTTTCTAGAATTGTATTGGTCAGTTTATCCCGAGTTAAATGGTGAGCAGCAACCTGGATACGATAATGACAAACTAAAAATTCGTGGCCTAGTTTAATAAACGAATAAAAGAGAAAAGAGTTTATTGGAGTTTGGGTGGTCCTGAGTCACGAGACGTCTGGGCTGTTGCGCTCCTCGTATTTTACAAATAATAGCCAACACAAGGAACTTAGCTGAAGGGGAAACGATCGTTCAAGTTGCTTTCAAACGCCCTAATCTCTCTCGTCTTTAAGTTAAGCCGAAAATGCCACAGGAAGAGAACAAGAAGAAGTGTAATGTCAAGTAGAATAGCTTTGTATAAAGTCGTCGAAGGCCGGAAGGAGTTCAGCTTTTTCGCGGCAAGTAGCCAAAGCGTCTGGAAGTCTAAACGTTCCGACATTTTAGCTGGTGCTGGCAACTTAAGGAAGAGGACAAATAGAGAATAAAAAATGGATAAAAAAATTTTCTTCATCGTCGGGATGTATAGTTTACTGCTGCACGTGTGTCGCCATTGTAAAATTAGCGTATGAGACACAATGCTGGCGTCGCGGCGTCTGGGGTCGTGTTCACGACCCCCATATGCTAAATCCAGCTACGCGCATATCGTCGAGACAACTTAAATATGCTGAGAATTCTGTCACACCATTTAATATATCACGACCAATATCAAGATGAGATTATCAAATGTCAGAATTGGGTATATAGGATTTGAGAAACGGCTATAGGTGTTTTAGGCATCTGCATCATCATCATCATCAATCTTTTGATCGAGTACTTTAACTTTATGTCTTGTTTTTTTTTCTTTGAGTTTTGACCATTTATGAAGTTTGGATGAAGATAAGTAAGTCTTAGAAAATTAAAGTGGATAAATATTTATATATATATTATTAAAAAATAGCATAAAGAATTTATTCAGGTTGAAATGCACCCTAAGTAAAGTCATTTCATTTCAACTCTGATACTTTTGATTAGAAGCTTTAGAATCTTTAATTATTTAAAAGAACAGTAGATTATTAATTAGACTTTTATTATAGGTTCTTTTTTTCAATAATTACTTGTCTAATTTGTAGTTTTATTGATGATTTCCATGAATGATGATGCAAAAAATGTATTGAAGTAGAATGATTTCAAATCTTGATTATTATTCATATAAAAATAATATATTATTTACAACTAATGGATTTAATTATAATTAGTACTTTGAATGAAAAATTGTAAAGTTTCATTTATTTTTTATTTCCACTTGAAAAAAATAGAAAACTCATAGAATGTTTCTCATGAATAATTAAGACTCTTTGAAATGATACAAAAACAATTGAGGTGTATTTTGAATAGCATCTAAAAAATATCTTCATAGATTCATGTTCTAAGTGAATGTAATTAATAAAAAATTGAAAACCAACTAGAATTGATGAATTAAAAAGACCAATTTTTGACATCAAAATCATTTGAAATGTAAAAAAATGATGAAAAATACCTGGAAGAATCTTTAGATGCTTCTATCATAAACCTTTATTACAATTTCACATTCATAAACTAAACATTGAACTCACTTGGATGGATTGCCAGGTTGAAGAGTAGCCGGTATTTGATGTTCAGGATATAACATATCCGTTTTGTTGATGCTTTCTGATCTCGATCGAGAACTTCCAGTCAACGTTTGCCTAATCTGAAGAGCATCTTCACCTCGCGCACCACCTTGATGCTTTCGTTGAGTCAAAATGAGTGTCACAATGAGCAAAAACCTTAATTTAATCAACATCTTGGTCTCCATGAAATCCAACAAACAATTGATAAAACAAAAACAGTAAATGAAAAAAAAAAAATGTCACATTAAGTAAATAAGTAAGCAAGAAGTGAAAAATAAAACACTGAGTGTATGAATGTGTCGTTGGCAAAGGACTTGAAGAGACTGAGGATGTCGGTGCAATCAAGGCGAAAGTCGTCGACAAACCCCTTCTTGGTTCTCTGGATAGAGAGAAGCACACGATGACGTTATACTATCCCCCGTGTGCGCGTTAACTCAACACACGTTGGTGTGTCGCGACCCCACTATGGTCTCTCTCCTCCCTACACGGGGCCAGCTACTCTCTGATACCCGAAGCCGCACACGCACGCCAGTAGCCAGCTTACCCGTTTACCGATTAAGAGTATAAACGCAAGCTATATACTGCAACTAACACGTGCTCAATATGTCTGTCTTAAAGCGATTACTTAGCAAATGTTTCTCCATACTAATTTAGATAATTCAATGACTGTGATTATTTAATGGAAATAATAAGATAATTGATAAGAATTAACTAACTCGCTTGGTAGATATTTGAGTATGGATTTTTGTTTTTGTTAAAATGTATTTAAAGAAAGAGAATGAAAGGGAAATGTAGATGATGGTTTAAACAAAATCGGGGGAGCGCGCGCACGCGTCTGATATTTTTTTCGTAGTAATCACTCAGCGTCACGCGAGGCAAAAGGGTTCTGAAGATACGATCGACCACTTTTGGGCTTCTCACTACATATGTACTACAATATAAAGTATCGACTCTAGTCAAGTCGTAAAGCATCTCCACTGGTTCGTAAAGTATATCGACGTGCAGGAGTCCCATGGTATATACCTCGGGTGGGCAATTTAAAATTCGAAAAAACGTGGGAAGCCTGAAAGAGAGGCAATGGGCCCGCGCGCACAGGATACCCGAAGAAATTCTCATTTATGCTTTATCATAAATTTATATTCATGAACTCTCATCTGAGAGGGGCACTTTTTACGAGCTGCCGGCCTACGTCTCCATCTTAAAATCTCTGTATTGCATCCTTTTTCTCTCCTTTATTTTAGTCATCTTATCTTTACACATATACACTTTAAACTCTTTATTGTATTTCACTTATGGATCATCTGAACGTCAAGGTATCATCGGCCGTTACTCCTTAAGTAGTTACTGCGCTCACTCGTCAGACTTCAAACTTCAAGTACCCATCTTTAAGAAAAATAAATCACTTGCCTAGTTTTTTATTCCCTTTTTTCTTTGTTATACTTTTTGTGTTTTGTTGGACAAAAAATTGTCTCAATACCGTGATGAAGTAGACATTTTTTTTTGCATGGAAAAGCGTCATAATGTTTGAAAAAGGGGTCGTGAATGAAGAAAAAAGAGAAGAGGGAAGAGAAGATGCTGAAGGACCGGCGTTTCACGGTACCAAGATGATGACAGCGGCGAGCTCGGGTGGCAGGCCGATAAATCATGCCCTGCGGTGTGGGAACCTATACCTATATCTCTCCCCACTATTCACGAAAAGCCTCTTCCACGATGATGTGACAAGTGCTCATGATTTTCAAGACTCGCCCTCACGGAAAAACATTTTTTTCTTGCTTTAAAAACTTTCTTTTCATGTATTATATCATTTCACTCTGTCATTATTACTAGAAAGTGACATTTTTTGAAATAACATTTTTATTTTTTCAATAATAATTATTGTAATAAAACTTTTTTTAAGAATTTAAAAAGTATAGATGATTGTTTAAGCATCAATTTAAGATGCTTTTTACAACTTGAAAGTCTATTTAACATTCATTTGTAACCCTCGAAGATTATATTTTGGCATATACCAGAGGTTTTTGACATGCCTGACTCTTAGAAAAAAAGTAACTCGTGGTCATAAAAAAAACAAAGTTCGAGGTCGCTTTGAGTGGTCAAACGGCTCATATATCAGCACATAAATTTCCATTCTGGATGTTTACGTTCGTTCTCTGCCCTGCATGTACTCATTTGTATGACGTTTTAAAAAGGTGCAAGTGAGTATAGAGCTGAATAGTAACATACAAAGGTTGAAAGAAATATAAAAAGTCCCTCTTATGAGTTCAGTAAATTATTTAAAATAGTAGACTACTTGGTAACTACTTCCTCCTGTTTGAGACGATAAATTTGAATATTTATAGTTGAAAAAATTTAACCATGTATCACTTTGGTATTTTGTTGACCGTGAAAAGAGAGTTACGAGTTTGGCCACGCCAACGAAAGACGTTTCTCCCATTTCTCGTGTTCACTTTCGACGAATGTTCACAAATAGTCTTTATAACGAAATCACACCGTGAGTCACATGTCGTCTGAGCACGTCTGTTAAATAATAACAATCATTATATGTAACAAATATCTTTGTAGTTATATTATTAAGCGTTCTGATTGAAGCAAAAAAATTTCTATGTTGAATTGAAAGGATTTTTGTTTGAGATACAAAATAAAAATGATATATAAAATAAATAAAACTTATAACTAAATATTTTGTGGAAACTTTTAATGAGAGAAGTCGCAAATGTGAATAAAAATAAATTACCTTTGCTTATCATATTTTTTAGGGGGAAATTTTTTAATTTATTATCTGCACGTTGATGCATAAAGAATACCAGTTCAGATATGAATTTAGACTGAAATGTGATTTTAAAATAGATGAAATATCTGTAAACTAGAAATTGTGTATTTATTGGCAATATTCAACAGATTTTTTCTAATAAAATTATTATTAGTAGAAGTTTTTTCATACGAAAAAAAAACATTTAAGTTTAATTTCAAGTTTAAGATAATATTTATTTAACTCTAAATATTATTAAAATGTTCTTGATATTTCGTTCATTTTAAAAAACTCGAATTCTAATTTTATTGACAGTCTACATAATATTTAAAATGAATATCTGTTTGTAAAAATATATCAAGCATCAATCAACAATGAGTAGTTATTAAAACATTGAAATGAATAAATGAATGAAATTTTTGTAAAAAAAAACTTTTAAAAATTTTAAATCAATAAAAATATCAAAGCTAAAAATTTATTCCTCAAGACAATTCACAATCACTATTTTTATAAACACCTAATAGACCATTTCGAATAAGAACTTGGTACATTAATAATAAATATAACATTATCCCTCTGAATTATTCCTTCATTTCAATTTCAAACAGACTAAAACCTTTACATTAATGTAAAACCTCCAGTATAATTTCATCACACACTAAAGGATGCTCTAAAAAATCGCATAAAAGATAGGAATAAAACGAATAAAGTAAGTAAACATAACTAAAAAATGGAATTTTTCTCATAAAATAATCTGTAAGTATAACACAGAGGGAAAGGGATAGGAAGGGCAAAAATCCTTTAGTCAATGACGTGTAAGAAAAGAAAAAAGATAAAGGAAGGTATCGTGTGACGAAAATCCAGTAGAAGCAGAGGAAGACCTTCTTCCAGTTAATGAACATTTCGATACTTAATACAGAGTATAACACAAGTTCTGACACCTTGCAAGTGTAGAACATCGTTGGCTTGAGGTCCGGTCGTGTAAGGTCGTTGGAATATGAGATTTAAAAATCGTGTCTTGTGTCCAGTTAGTCGGATGCATAAACGAGAAAGTGATGGGGATCCTGTGTGAACAGGGATGAGGCGCTAGAGTATTGTATAAAATTTAGGATATGGTACATGGTATGTTGAAAGAAGAACAAATGTTTTGTACAATGTCGGACATCAACTACGAACATCTTTAAATATTAAATAACATAAAAAATATGATAATGATTAAATATTAATAATTGATTAACTTGATAAACAAACTGAGATTCAGAAAGTAGAGAGTTAAAAGAAATGAATTAAATTATCTGAGCAATGAAAGTTAGAATAAATTGGTTCAAGATGCTGGAGATCATTTTTGAGAATATTTTAAGGATAATCAAAATCAGGAAACGTCGAATTAATTTTAAAAAATACTAGAAGTATTTTATCAAGATATTGGTGTTGAACAAAATGATAGAAAAACGATTAAATACTAAAAAAAATGATACATTAATGATTGAAAGGTTCAACGTTTTTGTGAGAAATCCAATTTAATTGGTTTCAACCTAGTTTTAATTTGCAGACCTAGTTAAAAGTTTCCAAAAGTTTTATATTCTACAGATTCATTTTTAGAATTCAATCATGTAAAACTAAAAAATAATTCTAGAATTCTAAATTTGATTTTTTTCTTTTATTAAACATTAATTTTATTCAATCAATTCTAAATATAAAATTTATCGACTTCATAAAAATAGTGATACTTTATTTTAAAATTAAACAAATGTATTGAAGAATTACATCAATAATGCATGATAATTTTTAATCAACAATATTTTTAATATATTCAATTCTTATAGTGTCCAATAATTATTTAAATTGAAAAAAAAATAATAATAATGAATAAAAATGAAGATAAATATATTTTTTATGAATGTAAACTCAAGAATGTATTCAGTTATTTCAGAAATAAACTGACTGGTAAATTGTTTGTCAGTGTTTGAAATAATTTTTCTCACGAACTTGGCAAAGTATTTAAAATGCATTGAGATGAGTAATGATAAAAAGGACTAGAAATATAAGCGAGTGCAAAGAGTATAGAAGATTCGTGGTGATTTTGGCGGTCGTATTGCGATGCTCACTGTTTCGAGCGATGTATTACTTATTTATTAGGGCCGTACCGGGTGGTCCCGCGACATGACGGAATCGATTACGCGAAGGATTCGCGGAACCAGGCTCTCAGAGCCCTTTTCGAATTATGCTTTCCTCTTGGAGAGAGAATTAGCTGTCTCTTTTCTTAGTACACAATCCAATCGTTGCTCTCTTTCTCTTTTCATCTGGCTTATTATGTAATCAGAATAACAATAATTGCTTGAAACGAGTGCTCATCAATCGATGAGAGACAGGAGCCCGAGGCCATGCGGACTCATCCTCGCACCCTCTCTCTTCGTTTCATCTTCTTCTCTCTACACACTTGTTTCACTTTTTCTTCATCTTCTCTTCTTTCTCCTTTTCTTATTCTTAAAGCCATATTCTATCGCGTATCGATCAGGATCGTTGCGCTCGCTTGACGCTAGGACCATTGAACGAACGTTCAACCGATCACCACGTAATTGCCCCGGCGCTCCGAAAATTTCGCCACGATCGTATACATATACGTGAAACGATAATTCTGTTATCGCTCTTAATGATAGGTTTCTCTACCCGTTCATCCAACCATCCACGATATATATCTTTTTTATCGTTGAATCTTATTATTTTTTATTATCGAAACTTATCGTCAACTTTGTATATGATGATCTACGCAATGAGAATATCTCATAACATACAAGTTATTCTTTTTACACATTTTTTACTCACAACCTTTTAACATTATTAACACATTTACATTCGTTCTACCATCATCTCCAACGCTGAAACCATTTATTAAAATTAATAAATCCTCCAACTTTTATTTTTTCTTCACAATCTTCATTTAGTTTTGTATGCATTTACTTAAAGAGTATTTTAGTATTTATTCTCCCTTTTTTTTGCTCCTATATAAAAAGCCTTTTCAACATTGCCTTTCACATTACTTTAAGTACGTCTTTTTACCAATTATTAATTTTGCTTTATTTATTTATTTTTTTCTTTATTTGATGCACAGGAAATGCTTTTCTTTAATTTTAACTTTAAATGCTCACGATAAATCGACAGTGCTTTTAACAGTTATTGTGAGATAGATATTTTTTTTCTACTTTTAATAATGGATTTATTTTTATCTGATTAAAGTGTTTTAAAAATATTTAAATATAAAAGCCTGATGTAAAAAATAATTTATTAATGATTATTTACTATAAAAAATTTTATATTCTAAAAATTACATCACTATTATGAATAATAATTGTAGATAGAAAAAAATTTTTATTTCCTAATATAAATAGCAAAATGATTGAATAATGTAATAATAATTTATATCAATTGATCAAAAAATAGATTATTTATAATTTTAAACACAATAAACAATCACGAATATATAAAACATTTATTTTTATTATTTAAAAAATGATAAAATAGTTTTATAGCAATAGAATAAAAAGGTGTATTGGTAATTATTAAATAAATAAACACATGAAATTTTTTACAATTGGTATTTACAGTTTATTTTGGGATTAATATAGATAATTCTCATGGTAATCGGGGGTCGGTAAAGAGTACAAGGGTGGAAGGGGTTCGAGGGAAATGTGTGTATCTGTGATTTACAATTAATAATTTTATTACAATATAATAATAATAATTATTATAATAATAATGATCATAATAACTATAATAAAAGGAAAGAGGGTAAGAGTAGGAGAAATAAAGGACGAATTATAATAATTTATATAAAAAACATAATTAAGGTAAACTATCGTCGTCCCTAGCCTCGTAATTGACACATTAATTATTATTTTTTTTTTTACATATCATTCTCATGTTACAATTATAATATTTCCAATAATCACTGCAATTGGTAGTAAAGTTAATTAATTAAATATAAATCGACAATAAATCTTCGTTTGTTTTTTTATAAACGTTGTGAATTAATGAGTGCGTGAGTGAACTAGTGTCGCCGTTAATTCCCTAACTGTAAATGTATTACATCATTATACAATAAAGAGAAGAAACAGCTAGGAAGTCTCTGTAGTTTATAACCAGTATAAGCAGTAAAACGTATCACAAGTATGTAGCATCCATCGTTTAAAAATCAATTAGGGCTAAAAAGTGCTTACCAATTTCGAGAACTTTGTTTATTATTATCATATTATTACTTGTAATAATTATCATATCAAACTGCAGATGTAACGGGAAAAAGAAGTATTTATTTACTTATTTATTTATAATAATATATATCATTTATTAATTATTATTACAATACTTATTATTGTATAAATATATTGTGACAAAAATAGATATCATTGGTCCCTGATGCTTTGCAATTGAAAAGTCAGGGATTTGAGTAATTGCAGTTAAAGTTGAGGCGCGGAAATATAATGATCAGTGTCGAAATTCGATTAGCACTTTTACCCTTATTGATTAATATTTAAATATTGTTTATTGTTTAATTATTAAATGTAGTTAACGCGTTACATTAAACGCGATAAAAATTGTCTCACGGTGGCCTTCATTATTTTTATTAACAATTTTCAGGCCGAAAAATCACTGTTGTAATTATTATTGTTTATGTATATCAAACATTATAAACTGTAATACAATAATGTAAACCTGTAAAAAATATACTGGGTGGCGGCGGTTCTCTGTATAATATAATTATAAGTATTATAATTGTTTTATGGTACACAGTAATTGGTAATATAAATATATTGTATTATAATATATTTCTGCAATGGGCTGGCTTTCCTTATATTCAATCATCCATTTTTTAATTATTATTTCATATTTAAATAATCATTCTTATATCTGCTTTTTGTTTAATTAATTATCGTACAAATCATTTATTTGTCGTTGCATTCAGGTCACAATCCGTAAAATGATCGTGATACCATAAAAAAATCTTTTTTTTTATGTTTTTATTACGAGGCTAGGGCGATTTAGGAACTACATTAACGGCACAACCGATGCAAGTAACTCTATTTCATCTGTTCATGCATTTCTTTATCCACTTTGCATTTATACACTATTTTTTCTTTTTAACTGACTCACTTTTATCTCGATCGAAAAATGAACTTTACGGTTTATCGTCTCTTCTTTTGGTCTTGGTGGCTTTATCGTACGTCGGCAAGATGAAGAATCGACGAGAGATAATTTCTCAAGGGAGCCTGAGAGTAGTAGACTTCTGAGTCGGCATCTCTACATCGAGTCTTCCCTAGAGTTTTGTACCCAACGAAATCTCAATCGACAAGACTGGAATTTACTCAGACTTTTTATCCTAATGAGAAATTTTTAAATAAAAAATTTTTTTCCTAATAACATTGAATGAATAAGAGATGAATATAATCGTAAAGTTCACAATCGATTTTCAATTAAGGTTGTATCCGAATAAACAATTAATTGCAATTTCATTTTATCCCCAGCAATTATAGATAAATAGATATATGTATATGTTGTATATATAAATATTACGCATAAATAATTAATTGCGCATCCCGTTCTGTTTCATTTATTATATGTACAATTTGTGAATGCATAAGAATAATTCATTTAAAAAAAATACTTAAACCAAAAAATATTATATCAATTAGCACAGCGGTAAATATTCTGTATATCAACGAGCAGATAATACTTATTTTCTTTCGGAGTCACATTCATAACTATTTTAAAATCCATTTGTTCATATGTTTATGTATAGGAACTTAGTTGACCTAAAAAATAAAATCTTCCCGGCAGTTTATTCTGTAATATAATAACTATTAAATATAGCAGCACACTATTTAGAATAATAATTGCAAATAGGCATTCAACGCCAATCAGCCTTTAAAGTCATTTTAAAAATATTGCCATGAGATTGAATGATATGAGGTATTAATTTTCATCAACAAAAACTTTTTAAAAATAATTATGATAATGACAAATATTCATTCTCTGTCTCTAATATGCAATAATAAATTGCAAATAATTAATTATGATAATTCGTTTAAAATTAAAATAAAAACTAGCTTTTGTTGTTGAAAATTAATCCAACACATCTTCTTAATAAACATTGCGCCAAAACAAATATAAAACGAATAAGTAAATATAATATAACAAATATCGATTGATAGAGGTAATGATATGTTGCAACGAGATTTAACAATAGCAATCATTTACGATATGGTAGCTAATTACCGGCAGCTATTATTTGTTTTTTTTTTAATCAGTCATATATTGCACCATCAGTCTAGATGGTTCATTGGAATAATTATTGTGTGTGGATTATATTTAAAAAACGTTTCGAATACAACCTTTTCCTTCTTTCATTCTTATTCTCTCTTTGTTTTTTTATCTCTTGTGCGTCCGCAATGTGCTATTATTTTCTGTTAATTTTTCTTCACATTCTTTAACAATGAAACTGTGTTTATTTGTTTTCATTTTAATTGGGCAACGTTTTTACCTCGGCCCCCGGTCGCACGAAAATTTTTTTTGCTAACACTTTTTAACACTCTTACACTTTAATCTTTCTCGTCAGTCATTCATAATCTTCGATCTACATCACTTAGAATAATCACACTGATCAATAATTAATTAATAATAATGATAATAATAATAATAATCATAATAGTAAGAATAATAATAATAAGGATAATAATAAAGTAATCAATCGCACTTCTACTTACAATCCTACACGTGTCAATTATTTAATTATAAAGGACGTGCGTCCGGCGCCACGAGGGTGAAAAGATATTCGCGCTTTATATAAAGGATCAAGTTAAATTCAATATTTCAAACACGAATTTACCGATATTTTATCGCCCAGAAATTATTGGTCTCTTACTTTGTTTCATTTTTTTACTTTTTATCTAAGGGTTTTATCATTTCTTTCTCTCACAATTATCTCCATTTCATATAACAACGAAACAGGCATTAAGTTTTTTTTTAAGTCTAACTAACGTATTAATGATTCATTCGCCTCGTTACTTTTTCCCTCGTTAACTGCAAAATAATACTGAAGTCCGCACATGGTGCCTATCACATATGTGTCTATGTATTTTTTTTTCTTTCTCTCTATTTAATTCTTCCTCTCTTATTTCGCTCACTCTTATTACAGACAATCGTATCCTCTCACATACACGTACACTCTCATTCATCGCAAAGTAATCTCTCGACAGACAGAGTGGATTTAAAAAAAAAGTGTCATTAACCGCAATCGTCAAGTCTGTACCGATATATATCCATCTTCAATTTAGTCTTATCGATTAACGATAATCAGAAATCTTTTTTATTTTTTTTTTGAATTAAGGAAGACGGAAATCATCGGTACAGATTGATACGTGCGGACATAAAATTTTTTTAAACACCCTGTTTATAGAATAATAATAATATATATTTATATCTATATGTATATATCTCGTTAATTAATTAATTAATAATCAATAATAATAATATCAGTTTGTATTGTACAGGCTTCATTTCTTTATTTGTGGGCTAAAAAAAGCCTGTAGTCTTTCCTTTTCTAAAATCACTTAATTTTTAAATCTCTTATCTTACCGATACACTCCAACCATTTTTCTTTAATTCATATCGTTTACATTATATTTTAATCATTAATAATAGATTCCACTCGATCCCGATTGCTATGTGAATTCACGATCGCATAACGCTCTGAAATAATTCGTCTACTGGCGCGTCATATTCCGCTCTCATTTTCTTATATTCTTCCTTTTTCCTTTTCTTTACATTTCTCACCCCTTCTCGATTTCTCTATATACCACTCGCGTTTCTTCCTTCAAATATCCTGTCACAAATTCTCAACGAAATAATCGTATGTATTTTATAGATTTATGAATTATTTCTTTTTTACCTTTTTTTTTGTTTTTTAATAAGAATCTTTTTTTTTTTTTTTAATTCTTTTTTAATATGTAGCTTTTGTCATTTTTCAATCAATTATCTATCGTAGATTTGTCTGTGGCTATCCCTGATGTGTTAGTTACCCTGCGCTTCCGTCTGGTTGTTGAAATATTGGTTTATTATTAATTTTTTATTTATTATTTATTTACTTTGTATTATTTTTTTTTTTTTTTGTCGAACTGTGTCTACGATCATACGAGTTTATTAGTTTTTTTTTTTACTATTTGTTTTATTTTTTACAGCGACTTTGCCTAAATATTTTTTTTTACTTTTTTTTGGTAAATCATTTAAAATTCCTTATCGCCCCATTTTTTCTTAATATCGATTCTTAAAACTTTTTTTTTTTTTTTACAATTATTTTTTAGTTAAAGAAATAAAAAAAATCTTAATTTGTATCTAAAAAATTGCCCTTATTATCTTTGGAAAAACATTAAATATTTAATAATCTTTTGTTCTTACCGACTCTACAAATTTAAACAATGATTTATACTAACAAAACAATGATTAAACGTTAATAATTTGCACATAATTTTTCGCTAAAATAAATAACAGAAAACAATCAATCAATTAATCAGTGAATTAATAATAATAAGATGAAGAATGAACGAGTCGTTAAAATATTATTTACATTTAAGAATTTTGCATTGTTGCACACTGAGAGGAGAGTTAAGTTATAATAACTAAACAGATTTAGTTGAAAAATTTATCCAAGTACTTAGTAATTATAAATAAATTAATATTATCTCTTATTACCAGACGCATTATTTAAAGATTTAGATAACTGTAAATAATATACAGTTGATAGATTTAAAAGAGTACCTGAATTTTTCTGGTTTTTTGTTTAAAAAGAACTATTAGCTTGATCAATCTATACACGTTATTGCTATAACATATTGATTAAATAGATTAAAAGGTGGTCAATTGGTATGAATTATTTGTACGAAATATTTATTAGCAAGTATCAATAATAACTTGTTGATTTCTAATGACTTATTTCTCGAAAGTGGTGACAGAATGTGCTTGCTAATTTTAATCAATTCAATGATATTTTAACATCATAACTTCTCATGACATTTTATTATGTTTCTTATGTATTGTATATTGTATACTGATTTATGTCACGTGATTTTTTCTATTACTGCGTATGAAGAATGTGTAATTATGATCAATTAATCGTTTATTTCCATTAAGTTTGTCTGAATCAAACGGCTCAAATGAATCATTTATTTTCAGTAAATAAATTTTTATTTTCGCCGTATTCAAGTATGCAATTTATTAACTGTAACCAAATCTTGGTTGTTACAAAGAAACTTTTTTCTCAATCTCCACCCTTCAGGGTAGACTATATGAAAAAGAGTCCTTGTGAATAACCACGACTTCGATGAAGGTATCCAGGTATGTACCACAATACAATTCAAGACTTTTTACATTATCATCATCAGTCTATCGGGAAGTTGCATTGAAGTTGTTGGTATGAGAGTAACACGCGTTCAAAATAATTGAATGAGACTTTACGTAAAGGATACACCGAGTCAAAGAGTTTTTATCAGAGGAAAATGTCTCTTGGATTCGTTGAAGGATCGCCGAGTCGAAGCCAAATCTATAAGAAAGAGGGAAAAGTGTGGTAACCGGAAGAAAAACAAGCGCCTCTTTGCGTCGTTCTCTACAGCGTGCAATGGTTAAATTGGAAGGGAACTTTTGAAACGGTTGGAGAAATGACGAGAAAATACCTCGTGTGAGGGTTCAATGGAAGGAAATAAACTGCGAGAAGAAGCGAGTGCCGTTAAGAATTTTTTTCTTCCGTCATACGGAAAAGGAAACGAGCGAAAATATGAAAAGAAGACTAAAAATTCATAGGTATGGGATGCATGAAAAAAAAGAAATATATTCTCGCGCGAAAAATTAGCACGAACCGAGGGGATTAGTACAATAATCGTACGAGAAAAGAGTTTCTTTATATCAACCAATACTTAGCTTATTGATTCAGACCAATTTATATTTGGTTAAAGTTACTAAATCACTATCACCGGCGGACTGAAGACTTATTTGAATCAAAAAGATCATTAGTTTGATTAAATAATTCTTGATTTTAATGACTATAGTATCAATTCATAATGACATAAGTGAAATTTGATTCGAGAATATTTTCACATTAATTGTATGAATTTATTGAAATGAAGATATAATTAGAAAATCTGTTGATGACAGTACATGTTTTTAGTTTAACTAAGAAAATAATGTTCATAACAATACATGAAAGTAATTAGCTCAACCAATAGACATTGAGATACAAAGTGACATATCTTACGTACTGATACTATTTTTTTCATGAGCAGTCTTAATAAGTGATACAATTGACTATGAGAAAAAACGATTAATTGATCATAATTATATATTTTTCATATGCTCTTTAGAGGTTCAAGCGTTTACCAATACAAGGAGTTAGGATTTTAAGTTCGTGAGGTAAAAGAAAAAGTTTTCTAAGGGTTTTAAAATTTAATATATCATTTATTGTGAAACAGAAATAAAAAGAATAATGTGACATGAATGTGACAGTATACAATGAGTACAATATGCATACATAAGGAAAATAATAAAATGGAATGAGAAATGATGAAATATAATTAAATAGATTGAAATTAGCAAGCACTTTCGAGAAATAAATCATGAGAAATCAACAAGTTATTATTGATACTTACCAATGTTATTAAAAAAATCTTCAATTTTTTTGTATTTTTTATTAAAATTTTTGCACTTCACTGAACTTTTGATGAAATGCAACGAAATAAAATAGGTTCTCTCGCAATGCCGATTGGGAATGACGCCTCGTGCGTTATCTGACCAACTTTTAATCTATTTAATCAATATGTAATTAAGTCAACTAAAATTTGGTGATTATAACCAAATGATATGTTATAGAAACAACGTGTATATTTTGATCAAGCTAATAATTCCTTTTAAACAGGTAACCGGAAAAATTCAATTTAATAATGACAACCAAATATATTTTTGATAGATTATTATGTTAAAGTTAAGAGATCGATGTATTCAATTCATTTTTTAATTTAATTGAATCCAAGTTCTCTTTTCATTCTATCAACTGTTTATTATTTACATTTATCTAAATATCTTAACTAAAAAATTTATTTAATAACTATGATTTACATATTGCTGGTAGGATTGTAATAATTATTTATGTGTACCAAGTATGCCCAAATAAATCAATTGGTTCATTCAATTGATAATACTTGTGCTTTTCAACGATTTATTCAGTAGTTATTAATAACATTTATTTATAATTACTAAATACTTGAATAAATCTTTCAACTAAATCCGTTTAGTTATTATAAATTAACTCTTCTCTTATCAGCTTCCCAATTGTCAAGCCACGTTCCTCATTCCGACCCGTTTTGTTGAAGCAACGCAGGTGCAGATTGCGTTGGAATTGATTCGTGGATATTGTTAGCAGGTGAAGGTGATCTACTCGATGGCGTTAAATCACTTACACCACCTGTACCACCAATACTTCCAGCACTCACACTGCCACCACCCCGTTCAGAAATCCCTCCAGGATTAGTTGGAGGTTCAATAGCTTTTTGTTCGCTTGGTGGAAGAAGATGTACCATATTCACGGGCACAGGAAATGTCGCACTAAAGTCCGGAAAAAAGCTCTGAGGAAGATTGCCACTGAGAAGTGGATGATGAGGAAAACTACCGTCTTCAGGATGCGTCAGTCCCGCCAGAGGATGAGGCAATTGTGGAGGTGGTTGGATTGCCTTGACATTGTTGTTAAGAGAATTCATAACTTCACCAGTCGTCGCGCCGGTGCAATCCCTCCGAAGTTGTTCCAACTTGAGACTTTTGCCGTACTTGCCTCTTACATACATCAAAAGACTATTGTAGGGTATACCAAATATTCTGCTAGCCTGTGATGTTGTCATTTTTTTGTTCCAGACATGCTGAAGTGCTTCAGTCAACTCGGCATTTGTCCAAGAACGTGGAGGACCACCTCTGGGGGCACTGTGTTGACCTTTCGGCCTTGTAATTTGCATTCGAGTATGATCCGACCACCGTCTAGGTCCATCTGAATCACCACGATGTTTTTTCTGCTTCTTTACTGCGGGATGAATTAAATTGCCACCAAAAAGTCCGTGTAGTGCCTCAGGCTTAAAACTGTCATGAAGATCGGCTAAAAATGATCCTCGGTCTAGTCCACCGCCGTGAGGAAATAGACCACCACCCGTGTCCATCGGGAACACGGCGACAGATCTGCGAGATGTCAGAGCAGACTCTTGCTGTTGAAATGGATGCATTCTATTGTGACTCTGCGGACTGCCTTCTCGTGGATGATGCGACGGATTCTGTAGCTGACTTTGTGGGTGACTCGGTGCCCATTGTGCCGCCAATTGGCCAAGGCTTGTCAGGTACTCACTATGATGATGGGGAGGAGTCAGAGACAGTGTTGATATAGCAGGTAAACTCGCTGCTGAAAGATCTTGAATAGAACTATCAGGATGAAGACTCGTGCCGGTTAAAGGTGATCCTCTGGGGCTGCTTGCTGCTTCACTTTCAGTCTTAATACCTTGAACAGGTGGTAAAGATGGCGAAGAAGGTCTTTTCATAGATAAATTTTCCGCAATATCTTCACGTTGATTGTGATTTAATGTTGGTTGTTGTATTTGATGCTGGAAATTTGGTGGAGACGTTTGTCGTTGTTGCTGTTGCGATTGTTGTTGATTGCTGGCAAAATTCAATCCACTCGGCGGACTGGGACTTGGAGGTGGATGAGGTTTGCTCAAGTCTTGAGGTATAAGTTCGCCAGACCTCCTTCTCGGTCTTGCTTGTTTTCTTCTTGGCAAAGGTGAATTACATGACTCCCTTAATTCGCGTAAGGAAAAATTTAAATGACTCATATGAGGCAATCTATCACGATGTTCACGAGGAATAAACCCTCGATCTCTAGTTGGCGTTATTGCAGAATCTGACACATTGTCATCATCTACAGGACTTTCTTGTCGCGTTGCCTCAGGTGTAAGGCGATCACCAAGAAGAAGATCCGTCGGTGTTTCCACCGGCGTGTCAGGTGGACTAGCGGGACGTGGTTCTGATGATGCTAAACCTCTCACCTGAAGACTTTCTGCAGCCCTCATCAAACCCGGAAGCTCCTCTCGACCAACACGAACTTCTCCCCGGTACATGAAGTCAATGAGGGCAGCCACTTCTCGTCCAGAAAAGTCCTTGAGAACTATCACCGGATGCTTGCACGGGTGCTCTGCAAATATCCTCTCGAAGAAGGGACTGAAATGATATAAATAGAAAAACTGTGAGTCTAGTATCATTGAAAATAAGTGAAGGTAAAAGAAGTAGCAATGCCTTGTGACAAATTGATTAGTTAGAAGTCCGCAAAATGCAGGACTTTTCAGAGCATCATTGTGCATCGTTATTCCTCCGGAACGATTCAATAAACGGTTGTATCGGAAGAGAAGGTCAATGCACTTGAATATCCTCTGATGTAAAAAAAGACAAGAGACTGTATGATTATCAATGCCAGTCTACTTGCTTAGATTAAAGCATTAATAACAATTGATTGGCGATCAAGATTAAAGGAATAATTGGATGAGTGCGGAGTATTGGAATTAAATTAGATCATTTACATTTTTCAAGGATGTTTTACAAATATAAAAAAGTTGTATTAAATCAAATTCAAGCGACTATAATTGATGAACCATGTTCTAATAAATGTTATATTTGAATAAAGAAAAGGCATTGAAAATTACGGATTATTAATGGTAAAGAGAAAAATAAGGTTTCATTTATCTTTGGATCAAGTAGAATTACTCAATTTTGTTCGGACATCCTTTAAAATATCATTGTTTAATATCAAAACTAAAAAATTTCAGAAGTTTATAGTTTAAATATCACATCAAACTTTAACAATTTATAAGAACATAATACATCTTTTTTTATAATTTTTGACATTGAAAAAATTTGAAAAATGTAATATTTGACAAACTTGTGAATTAAATTAGAATTTTAATTCTTATTACTTGAGATAATCCAATTCATAGATAGTTATGTAAAATGAATGATCTATTATTAATTAAAATTCATAATAAAATTTGATAAAAAAAATGATTAAAGAATCATTTAATTACTTTCATTAAGAATTTCATTCAGCCAAGTAAATCAGTATTTATACTCAGTTGTAAACGTTTTATCGTTTATGATACAAAAGAATGAATGAGTAATAGCACAATTAAAAGTTAATAATAAATCAATTGAAAGATGTATTTAATATCAAAGTATGCTAAGAAAATTGTTATCTTTAATGTAATGTATTAAAATTTTTTTTGTTAAAATAAATTTCTTTAAGTGACTTAAATAAGATAATCAATTATTGAAAATAATCTTTCTTCAACTATACTTAAACAATGATATCAGTAACAGCATCTTGATTATCACTACTTAACAGCAACTGTATCAAAATAATGACTAATAGATAAAGCAATTTTGCCTTAATTAGACGAGAAAATAGTTGAGATATTTACCTGCAGGCACTGAGGACAACTTTGTGAGCCCGAAGACTGCTCTCCGAGCACACAAGAGTGACATCGACGAATATTTCTGCATGAAGAAGTGCCTCAAATGCCTGGAGAATGTGTGTTTGGTGGTTATTCCATCGTAATGAGTAATGAGACTGCAGTGCCATGCCACCGTCGGGACTCTCCGCGGTGCTCGACATCTTTTTGAACTCTTTACACGCGTCGAAGCCACCTTGCAATACCCGTAATCCGACGCAACTCACGGTCTGACCCTTCGTCACCTCTTTTACTTAATTCCTCGCCTCTTAAATGTTCCATCCACTTATCCAACGTTCAATCTCGAACCTGTTTTTTCGTTCCTGCAATTTGAAAAAAAAAACATCTAGTTATTGACACACGATGTTGAGACATTTTATAACCGAAATACACCTTTTAACGAGATCTTAATGAGTTTTAAATTAAATATTACTTCCAATGTTGCTCAATATTTCATCCTTTTTAAATTTAAATCATGTTTTATTTTATTTTTATTTTTATTCAATTAATATTAATGAAGATTTTCTAATTCCATTCTTCATATAGATGAAATATAAATTTCAATTTGAAGTCGATGGAGCTGAAAAATTAATGATGAAAAACCTGAATGATGATGTTATTTATGGAGGATACATGAATATTAATAAAATGTAAAAGTATATGGGCCAAGTCTGTCAATTAACCGCGATTAAAATGATCGTATAAATTTGATAACTTTTAAATAACTACTTGGATTATAGAGACATGTAGATATACTGTGAGTAGTCAGTCGCTCACACAACTCTCGTTAATTATTTCTCCCCTAGTATATTAATATCTCGCGCGCGCTCTACAACTTTGCACGGCTTTTCATCGGTTTTACAGTTATTCTCTTATTTAGATCATCATTATCCGACACATGCATTACGATGAAAATCCTCGGGGCACTATGACAAACGTGACACGATACTGTGCGCTCTCTCAAAACTCTCGACAACTTTGTTGTCAAACTCACACGTGTTTTATGTTTTAAAAAAATTTTTTAATGAGAAAATAAAAACAAAAAATCAACGATATCTTTGCTGAAACACTTCTACGACTTTTTTTTCCTTTTCTTACGAATCAAAGTATTTTTCTAATTATTTTTAAATGAAAACACGCTGTAGTAATAAAAGAAACAAGAGGCGTACATGATTTTTTTTTTAATTTGTAGTGATTAATGTTAATTTTTTAAGAAAAATTTTATTTAATTTATTGCCAAGTTTATAAAAGATTTATTATATTTAATTATTCATATTTATTGCAAATTTATATACTCCAAAATATCTATACTTTGAAAGAATAAAGTCACTTGATAAATGTAAAATTTATGTTCATGGAAATTTTCAATAAATCTTTTAACATTACTTATAATTATTTTTCAATCGAGAGAATTTATCGGATGTGAATAAAAATTTTACTGCTCCATTTATTATTTTTAAAGATAAAAAATAACCGGCAATTTTTCTATTTATTTAAAAGTTAATTTTAACAATAAATTATTTAATACTTATTTTAATTAATTTTTGTTTTCATATTGTGTAAAAAAAAATACTGAGGCAATAAATATCTAATTCTTCATCTGAAACATTTTAACTTATTTATTTTTAAATTTTCTCGAGTTTCCAAAATTATTTTTTGATGAAATAATTTTGTTAAAAGGTATAGAGATAACTGTCAAGTTCAACAACAGCTCCATTTAAACTCGCATTAATAATGGATCTGCTTTCAATTAACATCTATTTATTACAATTCTTATCAATTCTTTCAGTCAATACAGTAGTTCTAAAAATAAATTTAGTAAATTTAATTATGTTATCATTTAATTTTAGAATAACCATAACAATCGATTTGATGATATGACAAGCAGTTTGAAAAAATTTTAATAAATAATTGTTAAAACTTTAACTGTAATTATTTATTTATGAACCATCGTATTATTTAAAATTCACGTGTAGATAATTTTAAACCGATTATGGAGAATCTTTTTTGTTTTATTATTGTCAAACGAAATTACGAAAAAAATTCGAACCAAACAGAAATTGTAATGAAATGATTAAAGAGTCGTTTGATGCAAAAATAAATGGTAAATTTGTATAACACTGTCTTTTGGCGTAGACGAAAACGATCGGGAGTGCATGAGGAATCATAAAATCACAGAGGGGCTACTATTTTTCTGCACGCGAAAGCCGAATATATTTTTCTCGTTTATCAACTCGTGACTCGCCGCACGACCGACGGGATCGATCAAACGAATTAATTGCACTCGCAGATTTTAGAATTAGTTACATTCACTTTTATTCCTAAATGTTATATTTCTAAACAAATCACTTGTGTTTGCATCTTTTTCATTTTATACTCCATTAATAAAATGACTACTCAATGAGTACTAATACATACATGTAGTTGAAACGATCTCTCGAGTAATCCGAAACTTGAATGATAAATAAACGTCGATTAAATAGAAGTTAATTGGTGAAAAGTCGGTGACGTCAACGTTGAACGCGTGGTTGTATTTTCGCGCCTCCAAAATCCTCAGCTGATCATTAGAGAGCTGTGATCGTGCTGATAATTAAACTCTACACAATTAATTTTTTTTTCACGCATTAACACATTCACCTGTCTCACTAATCATCATCATCCAAATGACAGTAGATAAATAAATAGTCCAATCATATCACTTGATTATAAAATGAGATGAAAATATAATCCAAGCAATTTATTCATCACTCACTTGCAATAAACACTCACAAGTTTATATATAAATATAAAAACACTTGATGATTAAACAACTCTGATGATTCAACAACATAATGAGTAATAAAAAATCACTGTTTTATTTAATAATCTTTTATTTGTTTTGTTTCAAATAAATATATTATAATATTCACCCAATAGTAGCAATAATATTCCTCATTAATTGCTGATGGTAAAACAAAACTAGCACGAACAAAACTTTAGATAAATGTAAAGAAAATATGAATAACAACAATAGCCAAATGGATTTTAGTCCCAGAAGAGTGTCACTGTTTCGTCGAAACGCGCGTTTTAGTTTCGGAAAAAACGGAAAGTAAAAAAATAAACAGAAAAGACTGACCGTGCTCGTGGAGTTGCGTGTGTCGGGGCACAGCGGCGTCGTCGACGGCCGGTGAGTGAATGCGCCGTGACGTTGAGCGCCCCTCCTAATACTCCCCCCCACTGTAGTCTTCTCATCGGTAGCTCCTTCTTTCTACCCCCCACCGGTGCTCCTAGTGGTACCCGACTCGCCTCCTTAACCCCGCCCCCGCTTCTCTCCCCCGACCAACATCCGCGGACCGCGAACTACCCTTCCTTCTACTGCTTTCAAAACCAACCCCTCAGCCGCTTGGCCGTGCCACCGGGCGGCATTTTACTATCTCACTTGCTCACATGCTTAACACCCCTCTCTATCCCACCTCTTTTACTTATGACTCGTCTTACATGCACGGATAAAACTCGTGACACGCATCTACCTACGTAATCACGTCAAACTATAACGCGATTGCAATATTCTCAACCGCTAAAACTTTCAGATTATCAACATCTTTACTCCCGTCACAAGGTCAAAGTTATTTTGTCGCCGTTTCAATAGATGTACAAGTGAAGCCATTTATTTAGTATATGCTAAAGCTGTAGAACATGTTTAGTACAAGTATTTAAGTTTGTTCTAATGACGATTTAAGGAATATTCAGGATTTATTAAATATAAGTGAAATTGTTGGTAATTATTTCATATTAATTTCAGTGATGAAAAATTATTTTTTTTGCACATGTTAAAATGTTGAAGAGGATTCCAGATGATTTTTTATATCAACTCTTACATTTAGACTGACAAAAATATTAAAATTTATTTGAGATAATATTTAAAATTTTTAATAAATAATAAAACATATTTTTATCACTCTTGAAATGAATATGTAAATATAGAAATAATTTTCAAGTAAAAATAATTTTACAATTTGGAGTAATCTAGAGATATTATTGAAAAGTAAGAGTCACTTTTTCGCAAGATGAAGTTACTCGAAACGGAGCCAAATTTACTCCAAAAACCAACATTCTTTTGTTTATTATTTTTTTTTTTATGCAATGGAAAATTTGATACTGATTCTAGATTGTATTGAATAAAGTGCCAGGTTTACTTTAAATAGCAAAGTAATTTTTACTCTAAAATTATTCTTGAATGATGATGATAATTCAAGATACTTTATTCTTACTCTAACAGAAGATATTGATTTAATTTTTAATATAAGAATAAATACATTACTAGATAAAATTTTAGAATAAACTAAGAAATAGCTCAAATGAATAGAAATTTTTTTAGTTATTTATAAAAATAAACGGTGAACACATTTCTTCTGATATCGATTCATTCATGATTTTTTTCTTTTTCTGTATATTTTTATGAACTTTCTATTGATTAATCAACCATAACTTTATACTTTATTAAGTTGATATATCACAGACTTTTATGTGTCTAAATTTAAAAAATTGGCCAACTAATAATATTCATGATTGTTATTAATTTTTAAAATTGAATTCAAATAAAATTGACTCTTGAAAAGAATGAGCACTAGCTATTAATTTTTTTAACTTTAATATATTAATTGTTCCTTGAAAATTAAACCTTCTTACACTTTCATAAACAATATTTAAACACTAAATAGTTTTAATAAAAAAAATAGTATTAACATTATTGCAAATAAAATATTTGTTAAATTTATATATATTCGTTTTCTCTATTTTTTAACACTTATAACTTGAGTATAAAATAAAAAATATATTAATATATTTGATAAATTATTTAAAAGTAATTGTGTGTGATTCTCCTTTCTTCCTTTTCCACTGAAAACAATTAATAAATAAATCTCAAGTAAATTGTTTTAGTTTCTAGTTGCTATTAGAATCTTTTACTACTTCTCACAAACTCTTGATCAAATACTCGAATCAAATAATTAATTTGTTGACTTGAAGACTCCAGTCTCATCTAAAGAGGTTCACGTCTTCAAGTTTGGTAATTTGAAAATATTAGTGAAAACGAACAATTTTTATAAAAAATTTCTTATAAATAAAAAAAAAATTATCTGATTATTTTTTTAATTCGTATCAAATCATCAATATCATTATGTCACTCTGAACCCAATAAAAACAATTCCATCTTGTGCTATTATATAAAGATAGAAAACACCTACTAATGAAAATAATTAACCAATTCCTAAAGAAATTCAATCAAAAAATTCTTTTAAATCATTAGAAAGCTGGCATGAAATTGTACTACATGTTATGTGGT